GTTTTATAGTCCCATGTGTTCCGGTATCCTCTGTAACGCGGGCGCATAGAATCCGTACACAAGCAGCACACATTGTAATAAATAACGCTTACAACACGCAGCGCACAACTGGGATGGCTGCATCGTAAAGGCATGAGGCCCGATTTGAACCGACGAGTCCACTCACGGTTGTCTTCCTGCCACCAACCACCGCACTAGCCTTCTTAGGCGCTATCACTCAGCCCGACTGCTACCGCGACATCACTACCTCCAACCACAGGTCCCGACGCCAAGCCGATCTTTGTTCTGATCGTAACCCTAACCCAACCATCCCCCCCGCCGGAGCCAAAACTCTTAAATGCCACCACTCCAAGTGCAGTCCCACCACGACTACTCGGGGACATGACTTACACAGCCAACTCTTGATTGTAATCCACGCGCAGAGTTTCCGGCTTAAACGTAACAAACAAAATTGGAATACTCGCTCGTTGAGGCTGACTGTGATGTGACCGACGACGAATCGGTTGGCCACGTGACCGCCTACCGCCCCCCCCAAGGCATTGGCCACGAGAGCCGATTACTCTAAGAAGCGATGAACACGGACGGGATGCGTCCAACGGTCCGCCAAGGTCAGCAAATCCACCGGAGCAACCGGGGCGATCCACTTTCGGTGGTTCTCAACGGGATCCGCGACGATCCCCACCGGAAAGCTATGGGGCGGGGATTTACCCCTCCTGAAATTTAACCACAGACGTGAAGAACCAGCAGCCCTCGACTGGGCGGAGGTCGCCGTTTTTGTAAAGTGTTACTTCTTAGGTCGGGGAATTTTTTTTTTTGCATTTTCCGTCAGCCGCAACGAAAGTCGTTGCACGCTCGCGTTCCGTTTCCAATTCGGGTGGATGCGCACACCGCCTTGTGCGCCCATCCACCCTTGGATTGTGATCCACGTCAACGGAGCAAAACAATAAATACGACGTGATATAATAAGTTACATTTGTATTTTGCATTGGTTTTTCTTTTTGTAAATCCTGGAGCCCTCTCCACCACCCCCCCCCCCCCCCCCCTTAGCCACCACCTCCATTTCATGGCCGAGCGGTTAGCGCCGCGTTCGCCGCTCGCTGCAGAAGGTACGTGGCTCGAGAGCGGTGGCCACCCCGGTTAACGGTGCGGAGCGTACCGATCCGAAAGCACCGCACGCCGCCTGTTTTCACGGCGGACGTTACCGAGGCCGTGATGTTAACACGAGAAGAGTCGGCTGGCCGTCACGGCCCCAGTTTCATCGACCACGCGCAAATTACTCAACTGGGAGGCCACGTCGCAACGTGGCCTCCCTACTGGCTGACTCAAGGCCCCTGCTTTGTTGGCCGATAGCGAGTCCACGTTGTGCCACGCAGGGACAGCCATCGGGGGGGGGGGGGGGGGGCGGGGGCCCCTGCCACTGGGCAATTGTAAGATGTTCAGTGTGGGAGGTGAGTTAATTAAGTACGAAGCGTTGTGTTGTTATTATTATGTCATTATTATTATGCTCGTTTACCCAGAAAATACATCAATGATTATCGACTTTTTTTCAGAAGGGTTTTGCTATGCGTTTCCCCCTTGAAGTGATTTGCGGTGTAATGAAAACAAAATCGGTCAAAATTTGGAGCGTGACACCGGCACACGACCTGCTCTTTCGAACGAAGTCACAGGGTATTAACCACGAAGCGGACGGCACTTTGACATTTATGGTTAACCTTTTCCCATTCCGATGACGTACACGTACGAATTGGAAGAATATCTGATGACGTACGTCATGAGTTCCCCCCCCCCCCCACCGGCGTTTACGTCATCGGAATCGATTCCAAACAGAATCAGAAATAAAGGGCCATGCGGAGGGGGCGTGGCACAGTTTGGCACCGGCTATCATAAAGTGCGGTCGTGTCGCTACAGTTCTCTGCGTTGAGTACAGCACGTTTTTACAAGCAGCGGTGCTATGTCTCTCAATAAAATTAATGCCGTGCCGCTTGTGCGTTCTGAGATTCAGCGGCGAACGGGACAAACACCCTGCAACTTACTTAGGCGTCTCGGAATGGGAAAGGGTTAACACACCCACAGGATTACCCAGGGCGCCCTTCTGGATTCGAACTGCGAATCTCTGCATGCCGGACCGATTATTAAAACAAATTCGACGACATCGAGAGTTGGCTGTGGAATTATCGTGCCACGCTTACTTTAAGCGTCTAAAAATCTATTAATTTAAAAGTTCATAGATGGCTTGGTTTAGGAGACCCGTGTTGTCTTAATGCTGCTCTCTTTATTACTACCAAAAAAAACTGAAAGCTATAAATTCATAAAGCTTAAAAGGTACTGTACATACATACAAAATAGCAGTAAAAATTCAAACACTTAGGTAACATAATAGAATTCACAATATATGTAAAATATAGTTTGTACAAAACATCAACATATCTCATTTTGGAAATAGCAACGTAGTGTTCTGTAGAGACAGCAAATAAAGTTGCAACGTAATTGTTTTTAAAACATACTTTAACTGAAAACCTTACACGTTTATTCTTCACCATCATCGTCGTCGCTTTCCTTCCGTCTTAATTTGCAGCGCAAAAAAAATATATAATTTACAAATTGCTATCGTCTATGGCTCACTCAATAGCACACGAATGCTCGCGTATGTGCACATAACGGTTATTCTTAAATACTGAACTTTCTCAAGCTCCCACAAATCGGGTCCATTCACCGACTCCCCGTTCCATTGCATCGCCGCGCAAATCGCTCAATTAAAATAATAATCCACGATAATAATATTTTTTCGTTAAAGATTAAAGGTGCAGCCCTGCAAGTGCCTGCTCGCTCGCGCCAACGTCCGGCTGAGAGTTTGTCGCCCGACTCTTCAACGCTGGGCCGAGACGTCGTCGATGGAAGAGGTGTGCGAGTACCCGCACTTGACCCCACCCACCCTGCACACGCGGCAACCCGCCCCGCCGGAGCGCGCGCAGGCTGAGCGACAGCTACAATGTTATTTTTGTACATTACGGCGCCCGTGTAAAATGCCCCCCCCCCCACCACCGCACCCCCCCAACCCCCCCCCCCCCCCATACGGCTTTTCATTGCACGCGCAGTCACCCGATTGTAGTGGTCAATTCAAAACGAGCCCCCCCCCCCCCCCCCCCTGCCAATTAAAACCAAGCGCTCGCGTCGGTCGTTCAAACCTCCTCATCGCGCTCTGGACCGGTCCCCCAAACACACACACACATACACACACACACTAACACACACATACATACACACACTAACACACACACACACACAAAAACCACAAGCCGTGGAACAGAATCGTCGGGACCGGGGAAGAAAAAAAAAACACACAAGCGACGACTATCCGGGACATTGGAAACGCGACGACGCACAGAAGACAGGATTGGCACGTAAAGAGAAACGATCATCGCTTTCCCGGACTTCACATCGACGGTTAACAGAAATACACAACCAGAGCGGTTAGCGCGATATAATTGTCCACGATTACGACGCAATATCAGATTTCGTGATATGAGGATCGTCGCGATATCCGTTTCCGGCAACCGTTCTAATCATGATAATAATACTTGCCCGAAAGCTTTCGTGACTGCAGGAATTCATATTCTTTGGGTCTTTCGGTGAAGCCACGTAGATGGAACAAATAATGTGATCCCCGACATGCAATACCCCGGTGTCTACAAATGAAGCTGTCTCTGCGGCAGCAGTTACATTGGGGAAACTAAGCGACATGTTTCAGACCGTGTTCGTGAACACAAGGCAGATGTGAAACACGGTAGGACCAATACCTCAGACGTGGCTGATCATTGTTTTAACGCTGTGGGCACACACGAAATAGATTTTGCCAAGACGAGGGTACTCTGCAAACCCACTGGCTATCAGCAAAAGATTCGTTCATGAAGCCATCCAGGTATATAAACACAGACAATTTAAACCGAGATGGGTACAAACTGAGCAATCATTGGAAGGACGTTGACGTTATTAACCAGTTTAGGTCACAACTGGCTGTGTGATGTTCCCTCCCTACCTACCTATGTTCACAGTTATTTGACTCTCCGAGTTACATTCACTAACACAGCCACCGTTAGCTGTTAGTAAATGGCGGCTTGCCATCCTTGTCCACCTCCATGTGGCGATGGCTCTTTCCGAGCTCTCTCCGAGCTTACATTTACTAGCAAATCTCTTACATTGACATGCTAATCTCTTATATTACAATGGCCACCCGCACAGCTTCGTTTGTCAAGATTTACCCGATCTTACATTTACATGCAAATTTCATCTCTAGCCCTGCCCACTGACCCTTGGGCTACACCCATCTCAAACCTTTATAACTCTATACCTTAGCAGCACTCCCACCATATATTATCAGCAGCTCTCCCGCTATATTTTCACCTGATGACGATTGCTTGTGTTGCGATCTAAATGTCGTGATATTGTTTTTATTATTTGTTCTATCTACGTGGCTTTACCGAAAGACGCAAAGAATAATAATACTTGCGTTTGCCATTGAACCCCCAATGATGCCTCGCTGTTAATTTCGCCTAGGGGGACCCTAACCACACCCCCCCACTGGCAGCTGTCCCTGTGCGGGAGACAAGGTGGACACACAGCACCCGGCCTGCAAGTTGACTGTCTGCCAGTAGGCGAGTGGGGACCGGGAGAGGAGGGGGGGGGGGGCTATAATTTAGTAATTGAATTTCGCATTTAATATTGTGTTTTTTTCTTGTTCCTTGCTGCGCACAGTACCCCCAAGTACACAAACACAACCCAATAAGGTCTTCCCGACTGCAGTTCACCCGATAAGAGCCCTCCCCCGATGGCTGCGTTTAATCGTTGCTTACTTTGCCATCTGTTGTAGCGCTTATGGATGCGCATGTCGCCAGCATCAAACAACGCGCGAATATTGAGAGCTGCGAACACGGCGACATGATTACAAGCAAATGCCAAACCGCCGCCAACTAAAAAAACGTTTTGTAAATTCCGAACCGTAACTTGAAACGGCTTTTATATTTATGACCACATTCCTTTGTTCGCTAGTTCATAGAAAAGAAAAAAAAGCGTCCGGAGATTGAATTACATCTTTTCTTTCTAATACGAGCAACAATAAATCATAACGCGATAACATAATTTTTTTTTAAATAAAAAAAAACAGGACGATCGTGGACCTTACAACGTCTCGAACTTGGAACTTCTATCGCACCGTGGTACGTAGCCAACCGTGCTCACCGGAGGTGCTACCGGAGGGATCGTGGTCACGACGCGACGGCCGTGAATGAGGAGGGAGCTTCTCATCCTTCTCATCCCCTCCGCCATCGCGACTGACAGTCAGCAAAATGCAATCTCGCAAAAGCATCTTATATATATATAATGTAAAAACGATCAATCATATTCTATGTTATATATATAACGAGACAGCATACGAGTGGACATCCCTCTCTCTTTCCCCAACCCGGTCGTTGTTTCAATGCTGAAACAAACTCGAATATCGTGCGGCCGCTAAAACGTAATAACGCAAAAAGCTGCCGACAATCTTTGGGGGTCGGTTACGAATCGTAACGTTCTGTGAAGTGAACGACTCTTAACCGGGCTTAACGCGGTTAAATCGGTCGGCCTGCTGCGCCGGTAAATTTCCTTCGACGTCAAGCGGGTCCACTCCCCCGTGAGCGCGGCTGGTGAGACGTGCGACACTTTGCGGGCGTTCGGCCCAACGGCCCCCCGCCCCCTCCCCGCGGCTTGCGCCCTCCGGCGCGTTCTCGGCTCGTGCCGCGAACGACGAACCCGACGCTCCGCTACCACCTGCGCGCGGGAGCCAATCGAGTTCCCCGTGGAAGCTCCCGGCGCGTGGCGCGGAACGCCGCCGCAATAACGACTCGGAAACGCCTCGGAGCGCCGTACAGTCGAAGCACAACCGAGCATATCTAGGACAGCGCTCCGTGACATGTGTGCGAGTTCCACCGATACCTCCATCCAACATCTGGCCAAACGTTGAAAAAAAAGGTTGTTTTTTTTTGCTCAGACGACAAACGATATTCGTGAACGATCTGCGAGACAGCGCCGCGGCGTTCGTCGGAAGCGGTTCCCTTCGATGCGTCGGCGGGTCTTGCCGCTCGGTACAATGTCCGACATTTCACTGCTAACTGGCCGCAGGAAAAACGTGACGACACAACGTGACGACAAAGGTCGGGACGTCGTGCCGAACGATGTCCCGACAGCGACATTAGGCACGACCCCGTCAACGCATCGGGAGCGCTATGCGGCAGCAGCGACAGCGCAACCGTCAAAACCCTCGCACCGCGGGGCAGCGCACCGCCGCAAAAGTAACCGCGTACCACCGAAAGCGAGGAGACTTTGGCATAAATCAAAAGGCAAGGCAAACCGTGGCCCCACCACAGATGGCCAAATGTACGAAGGTCCTCTGCATGATTGCGCATTGCAAGCCAACGGATTACACACACACACACACGAGCCACCAGATTAATTATAATGGAAATTTTTTGCATCCTTTATTAACCCATAAAAAAAATGTCAGCGGATGTCGGTGTCGTCTTTTTTTTGTTTAAAGCGTGATATCTATCTTAAATAACCAATTGTGGAGAAAACTCAACACGTGTGTGTGCGTGTGGGTATATTTGTAATTTTAGACACTGCCTCTCATTGAAAAATGAACAAAAACCCCAACAAGAAGCCCACCCACTGGCTTCGTGATTGTCCTTCATTCATTTGCTCGTGGAGTTAAAAAAAATTATCTTTTAAAATAAAAATAAAAACCGCGTTCAAACTTTTCGGGGAGAAATTAAAATGAGCAACGTACTTTCGTTTAAACTCGCCGAAAACGTAAAACCTGAAATAAATACATTAAATTAAAACCGCCGAGCGACGCATCATTAGTGATTTAACTCGGGTAAGGGGGCGGCGAGCCAGACAAGGGCCCTCAACTTCATTTCATACGGTCCACGGGCGACACACGGCCCCACACTCCTTCATTCTCATTCCATGCGGCTCAGGGCAACGCCGGGGCCCACCGACGGCTCTTCCGAGTTCCAAACAAACGCACGAGCGCGTGCGAGGGGGGCGCACACACGGCCCTTCGTGCCTCGTGCGCAAACCGTAAACGTTTCCCGAAGAACCGCACCGTTGTCCTCTTCGTCTTAGGTCAGCATCACAACAAACGCGGGTGACCGACTGACGGCAGTGGCGAAGCAGTGAGAGGTAACTGCGGACTGGCTTCATCAGAATCATGAGTCATCAGCATTACGAGCCATCGGCAAAACAAAGAGTCACCGATTTTGCGTGTCGTTTGAAACTTTTTTTTTTCCTCTCTCGTCATTCGCGAAATTCCTGGAACGGATTTTTCGCGCGAATAAAAACACATTGCAACGTGCAACAACAGGACAGAGGTTAACGGCCGTGAATATTGGAAGCCAAACTTCCCCCCCCCCCTGTGCTGTCCACTCAGGACGTGCCACCCGAACACCCAAGGCGTGAGCGAGTGAACGAGCGGGAGGAAAACAAATAGGAGCGGACATCGAGCGGCCGCGATATGGGCGATCAAGACCACGACGTCAAAGTTTCCCGAACCACCGATGCCGCCGTCACCACCACCATCGCCACCGCACTTTCTCGCCTGCCAACGCCGCCTTCTACCGTCCTCCGCCAAATCCAGCGGCTGAAACCACAGCACATGGAGGCGACCTCCAAGATGTGCCCGGACAATTCGAGACACCCGCCACGTCGTCTCGACTGGCGTCGCCGCAGCGGCAAGCGTTATCGGCGGCGGAGGGCCGTGCGGGGGGGGCTACATTCCCTGGTTCGTTCTGCACTCCTCCCGCCTTAGAACCCGCACTTGACCACTGTTGCGAAGTACAGTCGGATATCCATCACGGCTTCATACGGCAGAGGGTTAACAAAAACGGGCTGCGGATGTGGTGAACTGGAGGCACGGTGGTCAGCGGTGGTCAGCGGTGGTGAGCGCCGCGCTATCGACCAGAGATCGAATCCCAGCCACGGCTGACACCAGTGGGCAGGCGGCATTCCGAACCGCTTCGGAAAACACTCGCCCCCAATTCGCCAAGCCGCGCGGACAAACAAAACGGTGCCTTCGTGACCGACGCAGCGTGCGCGAGGCCTTCATCCAGCAGTGGATCGACAAAGGGCTGTACATTACTGTTGTTGTTGTTCTGCCTCACTATGGCACATTGCAATGGTTCAAGAAACCCATTTCCAATTCAACACTGCAGATAGGAAACAGTCCGCACATCGTTCGCCAGACCTGGGGATTCATTATAAAGAATAACCAGTACGCAGCACCGTTAGCCGGCTGACCTTACAATTACGGTGGCATTGCCATTCATTACGGATGACGCAACTGCAATTACAATTGACCCCAGGTCTGTCCATGCACACCAGCCCAGCGGGTCAGGTCAAGTGCATCAGAATCCTTCACCGTCCTTTGTGCAACAGCTTTACACCGCCCTCGCCTTACAAATAAAAAAAAACACACAACACTTGAGCTCTCTCTACCCATGTGCTTTCGGAGGGTACCGGATGTTGTTGGGCACGACGTCCCGACGTTTCGCGCCACGTGCCAGGAGCTTTCTATCGTGCGGGAACAGCTCCGTTCCGTTGAGTTTGTTGTTTGCTATTGTTGGGGAGGAACGACGTCTGACGTTTTGCTCCATGTGCCGGGAGCTGCTGCTGCTGCTGCTTCTTCTTCGGGAAATCGGGACGGCGAGTCGAAGTTCCAGCCGTACGCATCGGAACATCGTAGCGCGCGTGCCCGGGCGCTGCGATGTCGAACATCAAACCTACGCGAGCGACAGGGCGAATACCATAGCGCGACATGGCGAACATCAATACTGCGCGACACGGCGGCCCCCCTGACACGAACGCCACACACGTCGGCCGGCTGTGCGGCACGACCACGGAAAATCCACGCAGCAAAAGAAGAAAATGACTCTCCGATGCAGCCCTCATTATTCGTCTCCCCTTGTATCAATTCCTTTTTGTTTGCTCTCTTCGGAACAAGCAAGTGCAGTATTACTTCCAACGCAAACAGCCCCTCGCAATTGCATAAGCATCTCCCGCTTGGAAGCCCTAACGTCACGGGCAAGAAGTCGCCACCTAAAAAGCCATCGGCCCGGGGAGGAGGGTGGGGGTGGGCAACGTCACTCTGAGGTTCACAGCGACCATCCCTCACCCCGAACCCTACCGGTCTTTCCCGAACATCAGGGTCGTTGTTGTGTTCTCCATTGTTGTGTTCTCCATTCTTGTGTTCTCCATTCTTGTGTTCTCCGTTGTTGTGTTCTCCGTTGTTGCGTTCTCCGTTGTTGCGTTCTCCATTCTTGTGTTCTCCATTCTTGTGTTCTCCGTTGTTGTGTTCTCCGTTGCTGTGTTCTCCGTTGCTGTGTTCTCTATTGCTGTTCTCAATTGTTGAGTTTTCTGTCGTTTTCTTTTGCTGTGTTCTCCATTGTTGTGTTCTTCATTGTTGTGTTCTCCATTGTTGTGTTCTTCATTGTTGTGTTCTTCATTGTTGTGTTCTTCATTGTTGTGTTCTCCATTGCTGTGTTCTCCATTGTGTTTTCTATTGCTGTGTTCTCCATTGTTGTGTTCTTCATTGTGTTCTCCATTGTTGTGTTTTCTGTTGTTGTGTTCTCCATTCTTGTGTTTTCTATTGCTGTGTTCGCCGGGCACGACATCCCTCTGTCTCACTTCACGGCCACAACGACAAGCGGGAACGAACTGGGATCCGCACCGGAGAGCCGCGCGCCGGCGTGCCAGGAGGCGGTGCCAGGAGGCGGTACAAGGGGCCGGCCGTGGCCCGCGAGCGTGCGCCAAGCGACGACGGTGGGACGTCGAGAGACAGAAACCCAACGGGCGCTCGTCCCCAGCGAGATCTGACAACCGTGACACTTTCACGCGGGCCGTTTAGTCGGGCGGCGAATGGTTACAACGGGCGGCCTCGGGCCCGGGAAGCAACACGGAACCTGCGTCGATGCAGCACAGACACGTGATGTGTCAACCGCGGACACAAAGACGCAACATGCAACGGACGCGTCAGTCAACTTCTTTTAACTGACCACTGGTGCACTCCCGGCAACCCCCCCTCCCCCCACTTCTCTCCCGCACCCGCTCTCCCCCAACACCATGAGTTCCGTCGTCCCTGCCACAGCGACACAACCGTATTGCTCGCTACACGCACACCAACCAGACCTGCGAGGTTTGGCTCGCGACGCCCGTGAGCGTGTATCGCCTCCGCACGAGGCCGCGGTGCGGTCCCAATTTGGAAGGCGATGACACGCTCGGTCCGTGCCTCGGTGCCTCCCTACATAATCCGTCCACGGCGGAGGGAGCGACTCGCGGTCGGAAGGTCCGCGCGAGTTCACATCCCCGGTCGGGAGGCGGGGGGAGGGGGGGTCGACGACTCGGGCCCATCATGCCGCCGGGGTCGGTAAAAAATAAAAAGGGGTAACCGCTTCGTGGGGGGGGGGGTCAACGGCGGCTGTGCATCGGCAGAGGCTCGCTGTGAATGGGAAATGCGCACCGCCTCAACGCTCGCTTGCGCAGGAAGTCATTTGTTGCGATGTGCCCATATCAACCATCGATTGAACGGAGCGTGACACGCTCCGGATGGGGTTAGGGTGTCGAGTTAGTTCGGGGTTGGCTGGATCGACAACTCCACGGTTATACATATATAACAAAAAAAGTCAAATCACAGGATGACCGAAATTCATCGGTGATCATTGCACAAAACCGTCGCTTTACCTCCGGGTTAAATAAATTATTTAGTTATAACCGGGACGTAATCGCAGCCGGTTAAACGCAACGGCAACCAGCACCCTGCAACGCCACACCCAGAGTATAGCTTGAGCTCTGGCCGAGGTGGCTAATACCAGTCGCTTGCCATCATCTCCTGGAGCCCACCGGCGACACGCAAAATATTCTCATGCGCCCTGCACACCACATCGAGTACACCTCTTTCTATGGCAGGAAACTACTAGCCATGTGTCTACTCTAAACATAATTCAGTGAGAAACCAAGCCCCGGTTAAGGCAAGATAAAATGAGCGCCACTTTGGGGAGGGTGGGGGAGGGAGTCAACAGTGGCTTGGGGGGGCTGTAAACGGGAGATGGAGCAATGTTTGAACGCTGACTTTTTTTCAAATGGAAACGTCACCAATGTGCTGCTCCACACGACCACCACATCAACTGCTGAAAACATAAGAATGGCACGCGTGTGCGTGTTTGGGCTGTGTGTGCGTAGCGGTTAGCGCGCTGCGCTACGAACCCAGCGTCCCGAGTTCGATTACCCGCTCAAAACCAATAACAGTGGAGAATATCTGAACCGGTTTTGGGCCTTGCCTAGGTCGACTCGACCTTCAATGAATACACGCTGTGGTGTGTGTGTACATATCGGCACTGGGAGACAAAAGCAGCCAGGCGCAGTATTGGCCAACCCACTCCATCGTGTGCCGTGCCGGTTTTGATAGGTGCTCGCCAAAAACATGTTGTCTTAGTATAAAGAAAATACAGTGATTATCTAAAGATACTCAAGACAAAGTGCTGTTAGAGAACACCTAAGAAAGAGATATGGAGATAAATGCATAGAGAAACGGCGAGAAATATCCGTATAAATATGGAGATAGAAAGAGACAGTTACAATGGGAGGTAGAGAAAGAGGGGTGAAGAGTTAGGGGGTGGGTGGGCGCACGAGTGAATGTGCGAGGGGTGGCAGTGTGTGTGTGGTGAGGGGTGAATTGAGACAGAGTGGCAGGGTGTGTGGTGTGAGGGTGGCAGTGCCGTGGTCAAAGGTGGCAGAGCATGTGTGGGATGTGGTGACAGGGTGCGTGTGGGTTGCCATGGCGGGAGTGCGTGTGTTGTGTGTGGGTGATAGGGCGCGTGTGGTGCGTGTTAGCAGTGCATGTTGTGGGTGGCCGGGTGTGCTTGTGCGCGTGTTTGGTAGGGTTGTGGCAGTGTGCCTGCGTGGCGAACGTCGGCAGGCGGGTGTATCGAGACAGGCGTATGGGCGAGCGATGCCAATCTGCGGCGATCGCCGTCGTCGCCACCGTCACCGTGGTGGCGACTCGCTCGGCGCTCCCGCGGTCCTCAAGTGGTGAGCTGCTGCTGCAGCGTGCGCGTGTAGTAGCGCGAGGCGTGCGGAGCCAGGCGGCTCCACCGCGTCGCGTGCAGCTCCACCACCTCCAGCAGCAGCGAGCGGCTCAGCGCCGACTCGGACGGGCTCAGGATCTTGTCGCGCACGAGCGCCAGCGTCTCCGTCATGACGCCCGGCAGCTGCTCCTCCAGCAGCCGCCCGACGCTCTGCAGCTGTTGGGAGTGGGGTGTTGGGGGGGGGGGGAGGAGGAGGAGGTAGTGGTGAAGAACTGTTAACGACACGCAGGGCGACGAGACGCGTGTTCTACAGCGCGATTTCATCACCGCGGAGACGACTTCGTGGCTGCGCGCGCACGGCTGCGATGCATTTAAGGAGCTTACTTCCAAACAGCAGCAGAGGACGGCGTCTTCCTTAAATTCCTCGGCCTTGAGGAGCTGCCGGGGAAGCAACGGACAATGGGAGAGCAGGGGGAGGGATAATCAAACGGTACTTTCTTGAAGAACAAAACAACCAAGGTACGAGACAAATGAATTGGTTTGCAGAGGACGATTTGAGAAACTTGCACCATTCATTCAACCGCCGCGCCGGGAGATGAAATCGAACCGGCGACCTCTAGCTCGCAAGTCCAGCGGTGTTCACCACTACACCACTGTGGCAGCATCTCTACCCCACCCCTGCGACATTTTTTGATGACCGTCCCCACTGTCCGAGTTCAGCGAGGCTACGCACGGGCACCGGCAACGCTGCCTCGTGGCTCCGCGATGGTGCACTTGCCGAATTAATTAACACGTTTATATACATACTAGCTGTGCTACCCGGCATCGCCCGGGACTTGGATTCACCACGCCCGGCCGCCTTTGTCCCCCAAGTGGCGATGTTCACACACCACACCAGTTACTCGTTTGAGGCTGAGTCGACCTAGGGGAGGCCCAGGACCGGTTCAAATAATCGTCACCGGTGGTGGTGGTGGCCGTGAGCGGGAATCGAACTCGGGTCGCCGGGTTCGTAGCGCAGCGCAGCGCTGACCACTACACTACAATGCGTGCAAAAAATAAATGCCTTATTGAGCTCCCCCCCCCACCCCCCCCAAAAAAAAACAAAAGTTTATTTTTATTATTTTTGCATGGTGTACAGTCTGGAAAGTACCCACATGGCAAATTTCAAGTTTGTTGCATGTCGGGAAGTACGCTAAACATTTTGAACAGACACACATATTCACAACTTTGCCTTTTATATATATGGAGATAAGATAAAATAATACACGTACGATTGTGTGTGTGTATGTATGTTGAACTTGTTTTGCACCGTACGTAGGCAATCGGGAGACGCCGGGAGGAAGGACAACAAACTAAAAACACAAGAAGCAGTTCTAAAGAAATGAGTTCCGAATCTAGATGACGATTTAAAATCACAAAGCTTCCAAATATCGGAAGGAAGAGCGTTCCCGACGGCCGCAGAAGCGCATCTGAAAGCGCGCGATGCGGTGACGCATCCTTGCCGGGTCGAATAATATTATTACGAATTGCATCGCGATCCGGTGGACCGTCTTTGTTCGGGTGGCTGGCCGAGAGACACTGCTGCGAGGGTGACCGGGGAAGGAAAAATGGAAAAATGGAAAAATGGAAAAATGCCCGAGTGCGGCCACCTCCTGCAGGCAGGTGTAGACGGGGATGGCCAGCACGCGGTACGGCTCCGACGCGCTGCTGCGCATTGTGCCGTAGACCTCGCACAGGAACGTGACGAAGCCCAGCCAGCGCTCCACGTCGCGGCGCCGCGTGTCGGCACGCCGCCCGTACTCGCTCTGGCCCCGGGGAAGAGACGCGCACGAGCACGCAAAAGGCTAGGAGCCCCCCCCAACCGTATAGCGTTGAACAGACTGTGCTGTTTTGCAGCAGGCCCAGGACCGGTTAAGATAATCGTCACCGACGTTGGCTATGATGGGAATCGAACTCGGGTCAACTGGGTTTCGTAGCAGAGCGTGCTCAAAGCCTGTTGCACTACCGCTCCCCACACGCACACACGTACACAAGACAAAGATCTCCCGTGTAGCCTTAACAGGCTGTTGGGGAAAGTGCTGTCAGCGAGCACCTATGAAGGCCGGCACGGCACACGGGGTGGCGGGCGGCCAGCACCACGTCCGGCCGCCTGTCTCCCGAGTGGCGATGTTCACACACCGCACCAGGCTCTCGTTTTAGGCCGAGTCGACCTAGGGGAAGCCCAGAACTGGTTTAGATAATCGTCACCGGTGTTAACCGTGAGCGGCAATTGAACTTCGGTGGCCGGGTCCGCAGCGCAAAGCGCCAACTGCGACACTGCCAGGCACACACACACACACACAGACACACACAGGCAGACAGGACTCGGCAACGTGCCGCGAACCCGCCACCTCCGGGCGCCGTGTGACAGCTCCCGCACGTGGCGAATCGCGGGGCGCCACGCCCTCACCTGCAGCGCGTTGAGCAGCAGCCCGCGGAACTTATTCCCGTGCGGCGCCAGCGCCAGCATGCGGCTGCACAGGCGGGCGATGACGGCCGCGACGCTCCGGTTGGCGACGGCGCCCTCGAACAGGGTCCTCACGACGCCGCTCAGCGCCGCCTCGTCCGCCTCCGCGTGGCGCCACGCCTCGCCCACGACGCGCTCCAGCCTCCCGTCGTCCGCGGCAGCACCGCCGCCGCTCTGCCGATGCGACGCAGGCGACAGAGCGGCCTTCCGTTTTCCACTTCTGCGCGATGTCAACCCCTCCCCCACCCCCCTCTCACCGCCACCGCCACCCTTTCAGCCCCACCCCTCTCTCACCACGCCACGTAGCTGGTGCACTGGGTCCAGGCGTACCCCCCCCTTTCTCCGCCACCAGCACTACCCGGGCAACCGCGCACACCGCGGCAATCTCGATGGCGAGGCGGCGGCCTGGCGCCGCCACGTTCGCCGGTTCGTCGTTGCAGAGGCTCGCGGTTCGAATCCAGCGCCCGCCCTGGTTATTACTGCGGCGCGTGATAGCCGCGGTAAATGACACTGCCGACGCGACGTCTGCTTCGCTCGCAGCGGATGTCAAAGATCCCCGTGATGTCGTTCGGCGTCAGGGTCCAAATTTGCAAAATTTTGCACCGGAATCATTAATGTGGGATCACACACAGTAGCGGCAACCATACCGGGAGTCTAATGCGCCAGGTCACTCTTGCAAACGACGCTAATCCCGGCGCTAATGCCACGCCACGCTCCCCACCTGCCCAAGGCTGCTGCTGCTACTGCTGCCGCTACCGCTAAACTCAACGTGAGCAGCAACTCTGCCCGCTGGGACCTGTGTGCGTGCAATGCAGGATCTCGCCTGGCAGAGAGGCATGAAGCTCTGGTGCCCTCCTGTGGCGTGTCGCACGTGTGTATGTGTACGTACGTTGACACTTTCCATGAAATTCCCAGCTCCGAACAAACAATGCCACGTTGTTGATGACCGTCCGCTGTCCGAGTTCAGCGGAGCTCCATGAGAACGCGATTATATATTTCAAACTGCACGTATTATTACGGTGTATGCGTGTGTATGCTGAACTTCGTCCGCGGCCGACCGTGCTCATCGGAGGTGTCGAAACACCCGTTTGGCGTGTTTTACTATTTTGCGCGCCCTTCTGTCCCCACCGAAAGGATGAACTTTACCCACGGCGCTTGACATCGGTTCGGCACGCGACGAGGACGCCGCCGCATCACCGCGTCATCCTGTCTACACACCCTGTCGATAAATTCTCCGCTACGCCGTGCGAAATCCGCGCGGCAACAGCGGTACACGCGGGGGTGCCCCGCTGTTCGACAAGAGAGAAAAAAAAAAACCACGTAAACGATTGTCACCTTCATGTCGAGGAGGAGTTGCGAGAGCATGTCGACGCTGTTGCTCAGCGGGGCATCCGGGTTGGGAGAAAACACCATCCTCGGCCGCTGCTAAAACGCACACGAGGACATCGGATCAAGCGACGCACGTCCAACGCTCGACGCCGCGGCGACGTCACCGGGCTCGCCGTGACGGTGCGCGACGACGCGGAACCTCGCGCCCCAGCAGTCGCTCGGTGCCAACGCGGCCCGATTAAGGCGTCGCGCTCCTCAAAGTCAATTTGAGGTTGTTTGTTGTTGTTGTTGTTGGTTTTTTTTTCCGTCACCAATTGAGCTTTCAAGATGGCGTGTGCCAGCAGCCCACGCGGGCGCACAGGGCCCAGAATTGCCGCTAACAGAGAGGAGCTGTGCTTTTTCGCTGAGCACAAACCCTCATCGCTCCCGCTCGCCGCATTCCCTCACCGTCTGCTGCAGGCGGCACTGCAGCCGCGCTCGTGACGAGTCGAGCAGCGGTGAAGAATGCGGCGTCGCTTTGCCACCACCGCCACCACCGCCGCCGCCGCCACCGCCGCCACCGCCGCCGCCACCCCTGCCCAAACCGCCACCACCGCCGCCACCACCGCCGCCACCACCGCCGTCGTCACGCTCACAGTGACTCATCAGCCCCGTCCCCGTGTCCAACCGCACTTCAGAGGACGCCCCGCAGCCCGGAGAGCCACCCGATGCTCGTGGCTGCTGCTGATAACAGAGAGGGGTGGCGAGAGAGGAGTGGTGGTGAGAGAGTAGTGGTGGTGAGAGAGAGGGGGGGGTGATGGTGAAAGAGGGAGGTGATGGTGAGAGAGGGGTGATAGTGGTGGTGAGAGAAGGGGGTGGTCGTGAGAGAGGGGGGGGGGGGGGTGATGGTGAGAGAGGGGGGTGGTCGTGAGAGAGGGGGGGGGTGATGCTGAAAGGGGGGGTGATGGTGAGAGAGGGGGCTGGTGGTGACAGAAAGCGGTGGTGAGAGAGGGGGTTGGTGGCGCGAGAGAGAGGGGGGTGGTGGTGCACGAGGTTTCCGCGCTCGTTCCGCGCGGCCCTCCGATGCGTTCCCGTGTCGCGCGTCGTTGGGACGCCGTGCCGAGCGGCGCGCGGTCAACCCCGAGAAAAACAGCCAAGCTCCGTGCTCGCCGTCGTTAAAAACGGCGAAAACAACGTACACTGCGCGTCCGCACGGCACGCGCTCAACAAGTCACCACGGGCAACGCCGCCGCCCGGCCTCACCTCGTGCCGCGAGCCCGCGACCACGTCACGTGAGGAGGGACCCTGGGTAGCAGGGAAGCCGCCACCGCCGCCACCGCCGCCACCACCGCCGCCCCGTGGCACCGACTGCTCTCCCTCCGGGCCCGGCCTCTTCCCCTCCTCCTCCGACTCCTCCTCCCGCTTATCATTCGCGCCGTTACCGCCGGTCCACTCGCAGCCCGCTCCTGCGCACGGCACCGCCACCGCCACCGCCGCCACAATCAGCCACTGGTGGTAAGGGGACTTGGGCATCTCCCCTAGGTCGGCTGAGTTGCGAATGGAAATTCCGTCGTCTCGCGACGCGACATGAGAAGCACTGTCGGAGAAAAAACTCGCGCTCGTAGCAAGCGCGAGCTGGGGCAGGCCTCGTCGGAGCGTGCCTGCGACCAGATCGCCTGCCTTGCGCCCGGTCTCCTCACATCTCACAAAGCTAAGCTAGCGTGAAAGGCTGGACGGCACTTGGACAGGCGACCACCGTGCATAGCGGGTGGCGTAGGCTGCTGCGGGGGCAATACGTTGTCAGTATAAGGCAGTGCGGCAACACGTACTATTACTCTACTCCGATGCTCCAACATTGCCTTCGGCAACCTGCACTGACTGGCGTGGTGCAGCATGACAAATACCACTCATGGCCTGCACCACGTGGGGAGGCCCTCATCCAACAGTGGTTCGACAAATGTCCTCATCCCCATCTTCTGTTTCCTTCCCCTCCTCATATTCCTCCACTTCCTCTACCTCCTCCTCCTTAACCCTCTCCCCCTCCTCCCCCTGCTTCTGCCTCAACCCACCCCTCCCCTTTCTCACCGCGCTCTCTGCTCCCGTGTGCTCCTTCTCCGGCCCCGCCGAGCTGCCCGTTGCTCGTCGGCGCCGGCGCCGCCCGGCCGCCCGTGCCGTCGCCGCCCTTTCCCGAGTCGGTTCCCCTCTTGCCGTGGCGCCTGCGCGGCGAGCCCGCTGGCGCATGGCTGTAGTTCCTAGCGCCACCGCCAGCGCCTCCTCCTCCTCCTCCTCCTCTGCCCTGGTGCTGGCTGCCCCAGCTGTCCCGTCTACCGCCGCCTCTGCGTGACAGCGCAAGCGAGTCCGGAGAGTAGTGCTGCTGCTGCTGCTGCTGCTGCGGTTGCTGTTGCTGATCCGGCTGTTGCTGCTGCTGCTGCTGCTGATAGTGATGGTTCGGCTGGTGTTGATGGTGGTGCCCGTGATGTTGGGTGGCACGGACCCCCGGAGGGCAGTACAGCCTCCTGGAGCTGGGAGGGCAATTGGGGTATTAAAACGGGTCATTAGGTCGGAGGGTCGCAAAGGTTTAAAATAAATAACAGATAATGAATTCCAACGGGCTCCCAGCTGGTTAAATATAAGAATGTCAATCGTGCAATCAAATTCCTACGCTTAACCTGCCGGTGTTAAATCAGATAACAGCGGCACCAGACTGAAGTCGGAGGCGGTAGACCCGGCTTGGTTTGATCTGACGCTCAACTCCATTCATCTCTCCACCACGCGTTGTGAGGTTAGAAATCTGCGGCAGCAGCGGCCGCATCACCCGCGCACACACCTCCCTCCCCGCGTCTCACCTGCGCTCGCGCCTCCTGCCCTGGCCGGAGTTCACAGCCCGCGTAGCAGAGTCGCCATCGACGACCTGCAGGCACACAAGACAATGATCACCCGCATAGCCTGCACAACTTCGGAGGGAGGGGAGGGCAAGTGCCGTTAACGAGCACCAATTAAGGGCAGCGCGACATACGAGGACGTGGTGCGCTGTGACCACCACTTCCGAGCGGCCGCCATCATGTGCGTACGCGTGCTGAACTTCTTTCGCACCGCTCGTAGCCAACCGTGCTAATCGGAGGTGCTGATGTGCACTCACTGAACCAGGTACTCGTCTACAGCAGCGCCCCTCAAGAAAGCGCGATACCGCTCGCCATTGAGGTTACCCGGTAAATGATTTGAGGTGACCGGGTTCGTAGCACAGTGTTAAAAACCAGTGGACCATGACTGTCCACAAGCGCATACAAAGACAAAGATCCCCGCCCCTCCGTGTAGCCTTAACAAACTGCTGGGGCAAGCGTTGTTCCGGAGTAGCGCATATGAATGCCGGCATGGCACACGAGGGTGTGGGTGGCCAACACCACACCCGGCCACCTTTGTATCTCCAGTGGTGATGTTTATGACACGCTGCACCAGGTACTCATTTACCACCACCACTCTCACCTGTCATAAGGTGATGATAGTTACTCATCGCAAGCGCACACATGTACACCACAACAAAGAGACACACACACACACACAGGTGCTTGCTCACAATAACTTTTTTCATATTGCACTTTTTTTCCCAAGTGTATATTATAATAATCATTATTATTATTATTATTTAGTTTTTATACAGCATTTTCGTTCTTGCAAATTGCGCCTCACAAATGCTGAGGAGCCACATACAAACTGGAAGGCAGCAGCCAGGGAGTGAGCCAGCACCGATAAAATTGCACAAGGTTCTTCACTTCTCTATACAGGGACTCCCAAACTTACGAACATCCGACTTACGAACTTTCAGAGGTACGAACTAAACCTGGCCCATACATCCAGTTGCCTGTTTGGACCGAGAGTCGAAAGTTCAACCGCCGCGCAATATATAGCGGCGGTGGCATCTATATCTGCGGAACATGAAGAAGCAGTGGCATCTACATCTGCAGAACGTGAACAACCAGTGGCATCTACATCTGCAGAAGATTATAAAACTTTTAAAGCCCTTCCCCATGTGTGGTGTACATGCCGTGCAACGTACATGGAGTCGACAGGAGTAAAGTTGGACTCACGAACAAATCGATTTACGAACAGACCTCTGGAACGTAACTCGTTCGTAAGTAGAGGAGTCCCTGTATATTAAGATGTTTCAGCCAATTAATGATTGTTTATAAAAAATATATGTATTATCACAATGGGCACTTGCGTGGTCATACGTGAAAGAAACTGCGACTATTATTAACTTACGGCTGTCATCGTGCTGGGCTAAGGATATTGACATTTTTTTTAAACCGCCGTAACTTCAGTCTTGCCTCAAACATTCCTCTGGCAGGTTCCAAAAATAAAGACTAAATGTGGTAGCCTGTCCTTCCACCATGAAGCTCCCAAGAGGTGGTTTGATGGCTCAAGAGGTGCGAGTGGTGAACCGGCGCCGCCAATAGTCTGCGTTCGAATCGGGGTTCGTCAGCTGCAGCCTACGATCAATCCAGGTTCGCAAGTGCAGCGAGTTGACGGTCTCAGCCTGGTCGTTAATGACTGCACGAAAAATAATCGTGTTAAATTTGCTTCTGTAATTGGGGCAAAAATTCCAGCTCTGAAAGTAAAAAAAAAAAATGATCGTTTCGACTGGTGCGGCGAAAACATTACTCCGTGGTGGCAGTGTGCGGCTGGAAAAGTGCTGTCCTTCCTGTATGTGACCCCAGATGTCACCTGAAGGAGGGGGTTCTCGGAGGTAGCTCTGTGGCAACCGCTTCCGCGGACTGTTCTCCAACGACACGGAGCATCGCACCGCCCCGCGGGAACTCCAAAACGGATTCTTCGTCTCGTTCCTCAACGGCGATTGCGCAATCGCGAAGAAATTGTGCCAAGAGTTTTTTGTTGTTTAAACGAGCGCAGCACTCACCTGGGAAGATCCGTCTTTCGAGTCATCCTTGATCGCAGCCTCTGCGTCGCCCACCTTCTGGCATTCGCTGCAAGTCGAGCAACGGTGGTAAAAAAAAATATAAACTCACGGTTAATTAGCCGTGGCCGGCCTCTTGGTGTTGCACCTCACCCCGGCATGCAGATGTACACGGTGATAACAACAATGACGGTAACCATCATCGTCCAAACCGTTGAAAAAGCGAGAGCGGGCACGGGCAAGTCGCGTCATGGCCGGAAGGGATGGGCGATGGCCGAGGCATGGACGATGGTCGAGAACAATCACGGAATGGCAGCAAAAGAATGGAAAGCGTCCCAGAGAGAGGACGTCCGCCAAGGAGACGGAGCTTTGAAATCTGTTCGTGCGCGTGCAACTGTGTTGTATCGCGGGATCGTGGGAGGTGGTGGCGGCAGCCTGGGGAGGACCTCATGCAGCAGTGGATAGATCAAGGCTGATGTTGATGATGATGATGATAAATAATAATAGTCATGTAATGAATCAACCCAACAGTGATTCTACGAATTGTCAGGACGCGAGTCCCAACAATATTGACCCAAGCATCTTTAGTAGCAATGACATCAGTATCAGCATCAGCATCATCGTCGGTACAATCATCATCATCATCACCATCAGCTACCTGTCACCATGCTCTGTGTGGTTGGGATGCTTCGGGAGGCTTTGATGTTGGGAGGTCGACGTTTCCTGGACGTCTGGCTGCACGTCCCAGCTGCAGCCGCTGGACGCAATACACGACCGACCACAAAGTGGATTCATGCGGTGCCCGACTGCGAGCCGCATCCTCGCCGTACAGAAACGGTGGGAATATTAACACCGTGGGGATGACAGCGGCGTTCATAGGTCTCCGTGGGAGTCTTATTATGGGCCCTCTGTGTGATCGCTACTGGCGCCCGCTTTGAGTCTGTGCAATACATTGCGGCTTCATGCAGCGCCGAAATGAACCATCTCGAAGACGGTGTAAACAGTGGGACTATTTGTTTGCATAGAGAGAAGGAGGCGGTTAGTCAGAGAGACAACAAGGAAGGTCTGGAGCCTGGATGTGAACTGGGGAAGGGATTTGACAGCAAGGACGGCTGGGGGAAGGGAGTTCCAGATTGGAAGTTCCAGATTGGGAGTTCCAGACACAAACAATATCAATAAACAACCGCCATTTGCCATTAAGTGGCGGTGTGACTTCATGGACACACTCCGAGATACACACACACACACATTAGTACAAACGCAAATTCTAATAAAGACACACACACACACACAGATGCCACCAGATGCAATTACAGACACAAACGCACGGACAAATGCAGTCGGACACAAATATACACACAACAACTGCACCACCACTCTTCACAGACAATAAGACAAAGATCCCCTATATATCATTTAACCGACTGCTAGGGAAAGTGCCGTCAACGAGCACCCATTAAGGCCTGCATGGCACACGAGGGTGTGGATGGCCAACACAACGCCCGGCTGCCTTTGTCCCCTCACCTCCGATTAGCACGGTTGGCTACGTACAGTGCGGAAGAAGTTCAACATACATACATACACCAGCACACAAACACGAACACACTTGCACAAACCCAAGTACACAAATACATGGACGCACAAGACAAACACGTGAACGCAAGCTGGACCCCGTTCGATCACAGAGGTTAGTGCGGCTCACCAGCCCAGACACACCAAAACAACACGACCCTCGCATCTGAATCTTGGCCCGAACCCATCACACATTCCGCCGGGACAATCCGATCGCACATCGTGGCGGCTCAAAAACACAAGGAATAAGTAAAGCCTCTTGTGCTGCCACCGCCGCCACCACCACCACCACCCACCACCAACATAACAAAAGATCCCCCTTGCAGCGTTTAACAGACTGTTGGGGCATGTGCTGTTGGCGAGCAGCAGCACCTATTAAGGCAGTCATGGCATACGAGGACAAGGATGACCAATACCACACCCGGTCGTCTTCGTCTCCCCAGTGGTGATGTTTTACTACAAACCGCACCAGGTACTCATTGACCACCACCTCACCTGTCGTAAGGGTTCGTATTCGCTGCCCATACATCGTAGGAAGGGTCTTGGACTCGAGGCTGCAGCATGGAAAGGAGGAGGAGAGAAGTGACGGATTAGAAAACGAGAGAAACTCATGCACTGCGTAGATACAGCTTCTGAGTCGTCATCAACATCGTCATCATCACGAGCCACTGCTGGATGAAGGCCTCACGTGGCCCAAGCCAAGCTGTCACCATCTCCCGTGGTTGTCGTGCGATGCAGCAGTCCACCAATCTACGAGATGACCATTCATTCAATCTTCAGTCAGCATTGATTAATTCACGGATGTGAACTGGCACAATATTGAGACAGGGGAAGAGTCGGTGGAGAGGTGACAATGTGTGGAGGCAGGCGAGAGCGTGTGGAGAGCCAGGGAAGAGAGTATGGAAAGCACGATGTGAGAGGAGGTGAGAGGGGGTGAGAGGGGGTGAGAGGAGGTGAGAGGAGGTAAGAGGTGAGAGGGGGTGAGAGGGGGCCCTACCTTGGGCTGGGGGCCTGCACGGCCTCCCCTGGGTCGTGGAGAGGGGCTGCCGCGTTGAACCTGTCACACAGACAAAGCCGAAACGGGCACACCAGTTAATTTATTCACTCATTCACTCATTCATTCACTCAACATCACATTTCATTACTTTATTCGTTTACTCAATGATAAATTTCATTGGCTAATTCATACATTCGTTTATTCACCCATTCATTCGCTCATTGGCACGCTACGTGACACTCATCTGCACGCTCATTCATTCACCCAAGTCGCATACTCCATTACATGCAGTCACTCGCACACTCTTACATTCACCCAAGTCGCATATTCTACTTCTCGATTTAAAGCTTTCGTGACTGCAAGGATTCATCTTCTTTGGTTCTTTCGGTAGTCACGTAGAATGAGAATAAAATAATAAATTGATAAAATAAAATAACACAATAATATTCTCACGACGTTTCGGCCACAACACAAGCGGCCTTCATCAGGTGAAGGGACGAGACTGTCTAGTAGGACAGCGCTGGAGTGAAAAAGCCACGCTCAGATCACGACCTTTAAGCGTCTTTGTCGTTGAGGCTTAAAGGTCGTGATCTGAGCGTGGCTTTTTCACTCCAGCGCTGTCCTAACAGACAGTCTCGTCCCTTCACCTGATGAAGGCCGCTTGTGTTCTGGCCGAAACGTCGTGAGAATATTATTGTGTTATTTTATCAATTTATTATTTTATTCTCATTCTACGTGACTTTACCGAAAGAACCAAAGAAGATATTCTACTTCGTTCGCTCATTCCGCACGCTCGCAGGCTCCTCACCGGGCTGTTGATCCACCGCTGCTGCCTCCGGCCTCGGCCTCCTCGCTGTCCCTTCCAGGCCCGGTTGTCGCTCCGATCCGAAGAGCCCTGTCGCGGACGACAAAGACAAAGACCGCCCGTGTAGCCTTAACACACTGTTGGGACAAGTGCCGTTCGCGAGTAGCAGCACCCATGAAGGACGGGAAGACAAACGAGGTGGGGGTGGGTGGCCGGCCACCACACCCGACCACCTTTTGTTGCTTCAGTGGCGATGTTTATTGCACCGCACCAGGTACTCGTTTCAGGATGAGTCAACCTAGGGAAGGGCCCCGTGCCGGTTTAGATAATTGTCACCAGTTTTGGTGGCCGTGAACAGGAATCGAACTCAGATTGCCGGGTTCGTAGCACGGCGCGTTAAAACGCTTACACTACTGCTCATACATGAACGCAAACAAAGCAAAGATCAGACTGTTGGGGCAAGTGCTGTTAGCGAGTAGCGCCTATGAAGCCCGGCACGGCACACGAGGCGGTGGGTGGCCAACGCCACGCCCGGCCGCTTTTGTCTCCCTTGTGGCGATGTTTACACATCGCACCAGGTACTCGTTTGAGGCCGAGTCGACTGAGGGGAGGCCCAGGACCGGTTCAGATAAACATCACTAGGTCACCAGGTTCATAGCGCAGCGCGCTAACCACTACGCTACCTCTCCCCACACACACACACGCGCGCGCGCGCTGACACGCACGCACACACGCGTGGCTTCCTCATGTTCGCTGCCAGCATCCCACTTCAAAACACTGCGGGTCGCCGGCGTGGGAGAAGGGGGTAGAGGGGGAAAATTCCTGTGGCCCAGCGGCTCGCAGGAATGTGAAGCATCGCGAGCGGCGTGGCACGGCATGGCGTGGTGCATGGCGCGTGGCATGCAAATGTTTAAAGCGCAAATTGGACGCAGTGCGTGGTGGCTCGAGTAAACCGCGGGCGAAGGCGGAGGGGTGAGAGGGCTCGCTGCGATGAGCAAAGCGGCGATTTTACACTCAGCAGGCCAAACAACCATTAGCGTCGTCGTTGTGGAGAAATGTAAATAACCAAAACGGAAAAGTATAAGATACGCGTCTCTCTGCGAAAAAAAACAAAAATTCTTACGCACCCCATCGGCAGCACAGCCGAAGACTGAGATCAATCAGATTCTGGAAACGGGTGTTTAGGCACACAGTGTATCGTCAGCAGCGTCAGACTTGCACGAATCAATGCTGGTGAACTCGCAGATGTTATTGCCAAGGACCTTCCTTTTAATATACGGCTCCTATATTCCCTACAACAACGCTCATGAATATTTTTGAGTTGCGTATAATTTCGCGTCCAGCTAGAAACCCCCGTCTGGTAGTTCACCGCCACTGATGCAAGCAAGCCTGACAATGCTGATGAGAGACTACAGTTAAAACCTTGGATTTGCGAGCATAATTCGTTCCGGAAATGTGTTTGTAATCCAAAGCGCTCGTATATCAAAGCACTCGTAGTATATCAGTTGTGATCACGTGACGCTCGGCAGACAAAGCGTCTACACGTACACTACTCGTATTGCAAGACCCTCGCTCGTTTATCAAATTAATATTTATTTAAAAATGTTGCTCGCCTTGCAAAACACTCGCAGACCAAGTTACACGCAATCCAAGGTTTTACTGTGTGCAAAAACCGGTCCACAGTTTGCTTGTACTGAAGCAATGCAGCCAAGATCGTGCTCTGCCAGAAGGGCGTTGTGCGTGCACGTGTTGCGTAAGAAAAACTTATGGGGCGAGACGGAAATATGAAGAAAACATAGTCTGCCCATCGATTTTGTTAGGCTGACTAGACAAGGGGTCTCTGTTCGATAACATTTAGACGAAACAGACACAATGTATTACTTTAGATTGTACGCTTAGCTGACAAAGGTTGGCTACATAAGGTGGGAAAAAATGTCAACATACATTCAATAACAAAAGAAACTCAACACGTGTCATTAAACACTCCGGGCCTTTCAAGGAATGAACATGTATAACAGGCGACGTTTTGGCCAACGGCCCTTCTATAACACAGCATGTCCACGGCTCTTTTCAAAAAGACTTCCGTGGACGGAGTGACTTTCGAAGTCCGCACATCGTGATCGTGGCTGAAGCAAAGAGGTAAACACAAACCTTACGACAACGTTAGGAATGACGGCCACTCAGTGCAGCTGCAGATAAAAGGTTCTGGGCGCACTTCCAGTTTTGACACCGGGCGAGTACAACAGTGGTTCGGGGGACGGTAAAACGCGACGTTACCTTGAAGCGACGAGAAATGTAAATAAATACCGTGCATTTTTTTGTGATGCTAGCTCTTGCAAAACATAAGACTGGTTTGCAGGTCACCCTTGCCAACGAGACTCTTCTCCCGAGTTCTCAGTCGGGTTCAACAAAGTGCACTCGAATCGTTTCGTTCAGATTTTTGGGGTCGGATCGCGTGGGGTGCGCGCGCTGTGCATTAAGAAACACCAGGAAGTTTTCTCAACGACGAGAACGTTTTAAACGGCTCAAGTTTTTTTTCTTCTTCTTATTTTAGAACCCTTATTTTATTCAACAAAAAGGAGCAAAAGCCGCGTGCTTGTAGCTTAGCGGTACGCGCTTCACACTGACCGCCCCCCTTCACGGGCTCCCGAGGATCACGTGACCACGCCTTCACTGCTGCACACGTGTCCGTTGTCTTTCCCCGTCGTGTAACATCATGCATTGCATTTAAATGCCATGCGTAATATAAAAAAATATATAAAAACCAATATATGTGTTATTTGCTGATGTTGCTGCTACTATGGCAACGGTGCAAAGACACAATTAACAATATATTTTCAAAAGCTCACACTGTGTGTGGCCTTAAAAGAACATATCTATATAATAGGCAACGTTTTGGACAATGGTCCTTCTTCAAAAGCACATTATATCAGAAGTGCGCTTTTAAGGTCGTGTTATTGGCAAATGTATTGAGTGTCATTGTATATATGTGTTTAAAACCCCCACTACGCAGCTTAACAGGAGTGCTAGTCTGTGTGTTTTGACAGCGGTGCTGTACAGGCAAAGTGGATCATTAGACCTCCTTTGCCAGTACCAAAATGTACTAATAGGGTTTTTCCCCTTTTTTCTGGCAACAAAACTGAAACCTTTTGACGAGGATTCATGTCTGCATTAACCACAATACCTGCAGTCAAAATGCAAACAAAAAACAAGGACAATGCATATATTATCATAGTATGTTTTTTTGTTTGCATTTTGACTGCAGGTATTGTGGTTAATGCAGACATGAATCCTTTGCCTATTAAGGCAAAAGTGGATGTCACCACCGTGGTATGTATGTGTGTAAAACCGTACGTGGTGGAATGAATAGCAAGCTGGACTTGCAGAGAATGGTGCAAGTTTCTTACCCACCGCAACACGACCCGTCCACCCAGCAGTATACCATTACTATTTTTTATTTTACCAGGTAAGACCCACTGAGCTATGTGGCTCTTTTTCAGAAGCGACCTGGGCCCAAATTATAGCTCAACGAAGTGGCTCATCACGTGGTAATGCAAAGCGGCCACATACTCTAAATGCGTGATGTTGATTCTAAATATGGCGGGAAAGATCGGAGGACCCCGGAGAAAAATCCACGCGACCATGGGGAGAGAGAGTCATGCAAACTCCAAATATACAGGTGTGGGTTGGGGATCGAATCCACGACCTCCTGTGTACCAGGCGAGATAGGAAATAACCCGCCACTGCGGCGCCCTATGAACAGGCGCACCCCAGTAACATCGATCGGCAGGTCGCCCGTTGGTGGTTGGGTAAGATGTGGGTGCTCACAACTCTTCAGAAACATGCGCTGAGAGTATTTCGCTGCTGCTATAAAATTCCACGCGACAAGCTACTTCGTTGAGCTATCATTTGTGAGCAGGTTGCATCTGAAAAAAAGAGCTACATTGCTCAGCGGGCCTTAAACTAAAAAAAATATTTTGAAATCGTTTATAGTTTCCAAGTCGTCAGCCCAGCGAGGAAGAGCAGGCCAAAATAACCTAGAAACGGTATCTCCCTGGAGCTCGCAATTTGCAGAGCTGCACCTATACACACCGTGGCGAATATTTCTCCGCTCTCGTTTGGTATCCCTAGTGCGCCCCCTCCTCCCCTCCGCCACCCCTACCCCCCCCCCCACACCTCCTCGGACACAGCGGCAAATTCTTTCCATCGCAGTTGCGTTGGCCAGCCAAAGAAAGCCGAGGCCCTCTTCGAATAATTCCGAGCGTTCTTGGCATTTGTCGAAAGAAGAAAAAAATGCGTAGCAGAGCCGTCGAACAGAGGCACCTCATTCATGCCCAGGGTTGTGGCGAGGGGCGCAGTGCAAGAGGGATTTCGCTTTTTGCAAGTACGGTCGAACAATAACAGTCGTAATGTGGGACTTATACGGGTGTCCAAATGCGACCGCGTCTCAAGTCGCCGTACAGAAACGGTGGGAATGTTTACACCAGGGAGATGATAGGAGGCAATCAGTCATAGGTCTCTATGGGAGTCTATGGGTCTCTTTGTGATTCTATTTGCATCTGTGCGAGTCTATACAATAGAATGTGGATACATACTGTGTCGTTGTACAGAAAGTGGGAACATTTATTTTATACAGAGAGAAAGAGGCAGTCAAAGACAAAATATAACACGGGCAGGTCTTGAGGTTAGACTGGAACAGGGGCAGGGAGCCAACTGAACAGATTTCTGGGGGAAGGGAGTTACAAGGAGGGCAGCAGATGAGAATGACGAGACTTCCCAAATATGCACAATAAATACACTACATATTCTTGGTTCTTTCGGTAAAGTCACGTAGAAGGGAAACAATAAAATAATAAAAAATATAAAACAAAAAAATTCTCACGTTTCGACTGCAACACAAGCAATCACCATCAGGTGTGAAAACACCTGATGATGAAAACACCTGATGATGATTGCTTGTGTTGCAGTCGAAACGTCATGAGAATTTTATTGTTTTATATTTTTATTATTTTATTGTTTCCCTTCTACGTGACTTTACCGAAAGAACCAAGAAAACGAATCCCTGCAGTCACGAAAGCTTTAAATAAAAAAATACACTAGTCAACTAAAACGTAAACTACTTCTTTCATTTTGCCAGTTAAGGCCCAGTGAACTATGTAGCTCTTTTTCAGAAGCGACCTGGCCACAAATGACATTTCACCAAAGTGGCTTATCATTGTGTACATTTATAGCAGCCAAATACTCTAAACGCGCGTTTCTAAATGTGGAGGGAAAAACGGGAGGACCCGGAAAAAAATCCACGCGACCACGGGAAGAGAGACACGCAAACTCCAAATATTCAGGACTCAGGGTCGGGATCGAACCCACGACCTTCCTGTACACGAGGCGAGGTAGTTAACATCTCGCCACCGTGGGGTGTACACATACAGTATACATACAGCACACGTTCCGGGAGGTATGTGCGCTCGCATGTGGCACACCGCAGCCTAACTCGGATGCGCCACGCCACACCACGCGCCACACAGCGCCACACCACGCGCCCACTTGCTCCCTCACCTGCGAGGCGACGGGCGACGAGTCCGAGTCGGGCTGCTCGTCGTCGCGCAGCGTCCCCTCCACGCGGTACTGCAGCACGCAGCTGTCGATGAACCGCTCCAGCGCCTCGATGTCCGGTGACAGCTTCCCCTCGTCACCCACTCCGCTGCCTCCGTCACCGCCGCTGCCTCCACCGACGCTGCCGCCGCCGCCGCCGCGACTGCCGCCGCCGCTGCCACCGCCGCGGCCCTCGGGGGAGGAGGCGAGCGAGGAGTTGTCCCGGTCGGGCGAGACGGCACCGCGTCGATCCGAGCGCGGTGCGGCCTGAGAGCGGCAGGCGCGAGGGTGAGAAACCGGGTGAGGGTTACAGTCAGACACGTGGTGAGGGTGAGCTGTTACAGGTTAGCTACAGGGGTTTTGGGTTAGGGTTGGGATTAGATGAGTATGGAAGTTCAACATACATGCACCAACATACACAAGAGATAGTAGGGTAACAGATAGGGTCAGGATTAAGGTTAGAGCACTGAGCCGGCAACGCTGAGAACCTTGGGTTTGAATCCAGGTTTAAGCCACTCCCTGTGATTAAACCGGTTTTGCAATTGATACGAGTTGACGGTCTCAGCCTGGTCACCAAGAACTGTTTGTAAAAACCCATTACGTTAACTTTGGTTCCACATTCAATTGAGCAAAGTTCCATCTCTGAGAAATACAATATCGCTCTGATTGACCATCATGCGACAAACATCACTCATTTGAAGAGCGGGTGGAAAAGTGCTGCCCTCAACTGTGGGTGGCCCAGAGGTCACTTGAAGACATCTCAGAGGTAAGCTCTGTGATATCCGCTTCCGTGGGCCGTTCCCCATTTCGAATGGTCGCGCATTGCTCCGCAAAAAATGTGAACGGACTATATGTCTCACTACATGACACCAACAGCAAAAACGGGATACCATTGGTGGGAAAATATTAGCTTTTTAAAAATCTAAATTGTGACTGTATTGGAAAGCACACATTCAACACTGCACAAACCCAACCACGAATGCAGTTTGGCTAAAATTAATGCTCTTCATTGCCCAGTCCTGCATAGTGGTGGTGCTTACAGTGGGTGTGGTAGTGTTGGGAGATGTGGATTGTGTTGGTAGTGGCAGTGGCGGTGTTGGTGGCACTGACAGTGTGAAGCTGATAGCAGTGGTGGATGTGGTGGCGGCATTATCACCACTGTTGCTCGTGGAGGTGGGGGGTCGTGATGCTTGCGGCATTGATGATGGTGCGGGTGGTGGCAGTGTTAGTGGTGGTGCAGGGGGTGGTGACGATAGAGGTGGTGGTTGTGGAGGCGACGGCGATGGCGCTTGTTGTTGCTAGTGGTGGTATTTTCTGCTGATTAAGACCAGCACACTGCGCATCACTAGACAGTGAAGTTACATCAGCCTGTCTGCTGGCACATACACATCCGTCACTGCGTGCTCAGCCCAGCACGCACGCAAACGGGCACACGCCCAAGCCACGCCACGCCACGCATCTGCGCCGCCGCTACACACACACCCGCTCGACCGCCGCGTTCTCGCTGTGTCATGGGATTTGGTGCGCTGCAGCTATTCTGCTCTTGGATTTTGACTCTGAGCACGAGGGCGAGAGCACCGAACGTTAAAGTGCCTCAGTCTGGCTGTGCGAGGAACGGGCAGTAACACGGAACCACTGAGAGCAATATGGACCCAATGAATCCTGGGGGTGTGCCTTTGTCTGGCAGTGCAAACGTTGGGACAATTACAACATACGCTGAGAATAGTAAGCGTCTCTTATTCCGACTCTCTCGGCTCGAGGCGATTCACACTGAAACATGACAAGTGCAAATAGGTGGCTCCGTCTGGCTCTCTTGGGTGTCACGAAATAAACAATGAACCCTAAGAACCCTAAAACAAAGCCCAAACAGGAAACCACCACTTAAATCCTTAAGATGCTTTAGTCTGGCAACGCCATGGACCCTCAGATTCCTGAGGGCCTTAGTCTGGCTGTGAGTATTTGGCAATGACAATGAACACTAAGAATACAACAAAAAATACATAATGTGCTCCCCTAAGCATTAGTGCATCAGTTGGTGTGTGTGTGTGTGTACTTATACGTACTCAGCGATAAACAATGCCACGAGGGAGACATAGGCCTCCATAGGTGCTCCTCGATAACAACACTTGCCCCAATTGTCTGTTAAGGCAATACAAAGGACCTTTGACTTACTTATGGAACACATAGTGTTATTTATGGGGTTGTTTTTTTTTTAAAGTTAAATTAAGGCGACGTAAAATTAAGCCAAGACACCACCACCTGAACCAGTGAAATACACAATATAACTCTGGAATGCACAATCCAATGCTGGAGAAGCTTCTGCACAGTGCAAGACTGAACTGGCACTGCAATGACGCGTGGTGTCCCTGCGCGGCGCGACGACGAGGCCAACCACGAGTCAACATTGCCATGGCACGCCGTTCAGGCCAAGTTTAGCGGGCGCGAGATTTTCATTTTCTCCCTTCCCTTTTTAGGGGTCCCCCTAACAAAACATCCTGCGACACGCGGAATGTCGAGCAAGCATGGACGACCAAGTCCCAGCGCCCGCTCAACAGCGGTGATGCCCGTCCTGCGGGACGTCGCGGAGCTGCTTCAGATGCCATCTTCTTCCACGAAGCCATCAGATTTTAGTTTTTTGCTTGCACGGCGGTCCGCGAGCATTACCCAACTCCGGTCATCCAGAACCTAGACTGTACAACATATAATGACGCAATGCCCGATCCACAAATACGAAGGAGAGACAGCACAGCGATACACTAAGCTACTCCTCACGCGGTTGTCTGGGCCTGATCACCTGAATGTGAAACTGTAGTTGTTGCTCTGCATCCACATCAGCGGCCGTGCAAAATAAGAAGACTTGAGGGTTGACGGTGCTCCCCGGCTCCAGAGCAGTTTGGAACCACGGCTCTAAAGGGGCTCTCTCTGGACCTCCCTCGAGTGGAGGTCCTTCCGCCAGCAGTGGCGGGAGCGAGCAACTGCAGGGCTGCGCCTTTACCACCTTCTTCTCTATGCGGGTCACTGTGTATCCGCCCACGGTAACGCGGAGGAAATGCTGTGCACACATTTTTTTAACACGTATGACTGTGGCTCGCTTGGCTCATAATGGGGCCAATTTTTGCGAATTAAAATTCTCAACTACAGCCGCCGCCCCAATCAACTTACACATTCACCGGCACCGCCTCAACGCCCCCTGCACCCCCCCGTCCCTTCGCCAGGCTGGGTTTAAAAGCACAAGCCCGAGCCTTGAATTGGCGTGGTGAGGCGTGGCACATCTGTAATCGGCAAAAAATAACTCATTGCTGTATTTTACTTTGTCAGCATCCCTGGCTGCAAGCAAACTAAGCACAAAGTGTCCAGAGAACGACTGTTTAAGAGCGCTTTATACTCTTAAATTATCATTATAAGCCACTTAGTTGAGCTATCATTTGTGGCCAGGTTGCTTCTGAAAAATAAGTTAATAGCTCAGTGTGCCTTACTTGTTAAATTACAAAAAATAGGTTTGTTTTATTTGCGTATATACTTTTAAGTGATTTATTTACCTTTTCTATACTTTGGTCTCCTGTTGTGTTTTTGTATTATTGTTGTAACGTTCTGACCTGCCCCTACTGGGCATCTGTGAAAAATAACTTTATAGCTCAACGGATTCCTTAAGTATAAATAAAATATTCTGATTCTGAGATTTGGCCCCAAATAGTTCAAGGAGGCCTCAGATTTATAACACAAATAGGGATGCACCAGGAGTCTATTTCTCACTCTATACTTTTCAGAATGGCTTGTATTAGTGATTACCAGCATAAGGCCCCACCACAAGAATACAAGGCAGGATTATCCATAATAATTATTTACTATAAAACCCTATATTCTTCTAACCCTATTAACAAGTTTATACTAGAAGGGAAACAATAAAATAATAAAAATATAAAACAATAAAATTCTCACGTTTCGACTGCAACACAAGCAATCATCATCAGGTGTGAAAAACCACAAGAAAATTTGAAAAAAGTGGCGGTTTTTTTAAATTTTCTTGTTGTGGTTTTCACACCTGATGATGATTGCTTGTGTTGCAGTCGAAACGTCGTCAGTATTTTATTGTTTTATATTTTTATTATTTTATTGTTTCCCTTCTACTTGACTTTACCGAAAGAACCAAGAATATGAATCCCTGCAGTGACGAAAGCTTTAAATCAAAATTTATACTAATTAGATGCAGTAACGAGTGGAAAGTTTAAGGATAGATGGATGTGACGGACCAATAATAATTTTAAAAAATGCACTCCGGACTGTTGCGGCTGAAATTAAGCACTGGGGTGCACCAAATATCAGCTCGAATTCACATCCTTAAATCCAAATAAATAACTGTGATATACCAAAGCTACTGTGCTTATCCAGTACAGTCCATCATATTTGTAGTCGGATGAACCCAAATAATTAGTTATGCTTCGGCCCCCAATGGGTTAGCACCACCACGGCTCACCTGGTTTTCAAGGACATCTGTCTGTGCCATATGTACACGCATCGCTGTTGGGCACATATCCTTGTCTTAATGGTCAAAGTTCATCACGTGCTTCAATTGGCCTCCACAAACTTTCACAATCACAAATCTCCATGGACAATCAATAACTTCCACAAACCAAAACAAAACTTTCATTTAGCAGCACATACCTTCACAGACTATCGAAGGCACCTATGAACCATCGGAAACCTCCACAGATAATCAGAAAACTTCATAGACCACATACCTGTCAACCCATACGGTTTACCCGTATTATTGTACAGGGAAATAGAGTTTTCAGGCGCATAAGACGTACAGCCGTTTCAATACGAGCAAAAAAAAATGTTTTGTCTTTGTTTGTGTTTCTCCCTTGTGATGGGACTTTGTCAGATAAACGTTGAGATTTCTAAGGGCACGGCGTGACCAATAAGGTCTGAATTGGTCTGTAATAAGGTAGGGCACTGTAAAGGGGTTGACAGGTATGAGACCATCAGAAATGCAAACGGACAGCCATACATCTCCAGAGGATCACAAACATCCCCATAGATACAAAGGTAGATCACAAAGCTCCACAGACCATCAGAAATGTCCACAGACTCCAATGCAGCTATAACAAAGACTAGGCGGCCTTTGAAAGACGTTAAGACTTCAACAGCTCCCCTCAAACCGTATAAAGCCCCCATAGAGACCCCATACACATCCATTATATATCAAAGAATCCATGAATATCACGCACCCTAGCACAGAACCCAAAAGACCACAGACATACCCCCATAGAAATCCCAAAAAACCCAAAGGAGATCTCCAGAGGCCATAACTACCCCATATATACCGCCAAAGATCCCCTACAGACATCTACACAAACCACCAGACCCCCGGGAGATCCCATACATACCCGAGACTCCCACAAACCATATACACCCCAATAGAGATCCCATAAACTACTCCCTATACCGCCACAGCCCCCCCATGTACAGCAGGCCACCACAGACAAATATAGTAGACACCACAATCCTACAATTTCCATAGGCACCGCCACAGAAGAAGAGCCAACCAAACCCCATAAACACCCAGGGACCCCATGAACAACCCTTATATCCCCAGAGACCCCAATAGTCCCACGGTCAAAAAAGATCCCCCGTATAGCCTTGAAAGACTGTTGGGGCAAGTGCTTTTAGCGAGCACCTACAAAGGCCGGCAGGGCACACGAGGCAGTGGATGGCCAGCACCACGCCAGACCCCCTTTGCCTAACACCCAGCGGCGATCTTTACACATCGCATCAAGTACTCATTTGAGGCCGAGTTGACTTAGGGGAAGCCCGGGACCGGTTCGGATATTCGTCACTGGTGTTGGCCGTGCGAGGGAATCGAACTCATTTCGCCCGTTTCCAGAGACTCTAAACACGTCTTTACGTTGGATTTGAATAGACCCTACAGACAACACAGACCACCAGAGACCCCAACAGAGCCCCACATACCTCATCACAGTCCCCTCGAGACCTCCTGATACCCATTTAGAGTCCCAAAATAACTTCAGATACCCCCATAGACACGCACACACCCATTACAACCCAAAACCATACACACACACACACACCCATTACAACCCAAAACCATACACACACACACCCATTACAACCCAAAACCATACACACACACACCCATTACAGCCCAAAACCATACACACACCCATTACAAGCCAAAACCATACACACACCCATTACAACCCAAAACCATACACACACACACCCATTACAACCCAAAACCATACACACACACCCATTACGATCCCAAACCATACACACCCATTGCAACCCAAAACCATATACACACACACACCCATTACAACCCAAAACCATATACACACACACCCATTACAACCCAAAACCATACACACACACACCCATTACAACCATACACACCCATTACGATCCCAAACTATACACAGACACACAAAACGGTCCTAAACTATACACATAACGGTCCTAAACCATACACACCCATTACGATCCCAAACAATACACACAAAACGGTCCTAAACCATGCACATCCATTACGATCCCAAACTATACACACACACAGAGAACGATCCCAAACCACCCATAAAGACAACGCCCTACAGCCCCCTACACACCGCAGAGCCCCCCACTCTCACAAAGACACTCTGTAGCCCCCCCCCCCCCAACGTAAAAACCCCCTTGAAATCGCACCACCACCACCAGCAGCACCCCCACAGCCACCACCTCTCACCTCTGCGGGTGCCGCGTCTCTCTGCCCGGCTCGGTCCATGCCCTGCCGCCGAAGGAGGCGGGCGAGGCGGGCGAGGCGACCCTCCTCGGCTTGTGGTGTGGTCGCGTCGGAAATACAACGGCGGAGAGGCGAGGCGCGGGTGGATTTGACTTCACATTACAACGCCGCGCCTGCCGCTGCCGCCAATGGAGATTTTCTTTTCTTTAAAATTTAAATTATTTTAACAATAAAAAAAATGTTTCATGTAAAATTACATTTCGTTAACAAGCGGCTCACGCTCATTTACGCAACCAGCACACCGACAAACACCGCAACGAGAGAGGGGAAAATTAAAAAAACACACACACAAATGTGGGCTCGATTTAAAACGGCGTTAATTAATTGAGGTAAAATAGTCGATGATGATAATAGCGGTGGTAAGCGAATTAAAATTACACGCCGGCGGGCGGGCGGGGGAATTAAAGTTGTTTTAAATCTTTAAATAATTTTATAAATTAAACGAGCGCCAGGAGCCGCCTTCGGTCGCCAGGCCCCAACACAGACCACGTGTCCGCGTGACGTCACGCGGGCGGGCCCTCTAGTCGAGGAATCGATTCGTACACCGCCGCGGTCTAACGGGTGACGATTCCGATTCCTACGCAGATTTTTTTTAAAAATGAGATTGGAAATCGATGGAGCGCTTCTGCGAATCGATTACACACGCGATGTATCTGTTGATTGATGAGCTTATCTTATGTAGACTTGTACTGCATAGTGCCTGAGCTAGAGGCGCTTTACAACAGTTATAAACACTGTACGCGAAATGATAAGTGGTTAAAATAAAGAGTGGGGTTAGTAAAACATTGGTGGTGTTCGTTTTGGTGACCGCAGGACAGGTGGGAGTGGTTCAGGAGGGGTCGAGGTGGTGATGGGGGTTGGGGTAGTGATAGGGGTTGGGGTAATGATAGGGATTGGGGTAGTGATAGTGGTAGGGGTAGTGATAGGGGTTGGGGTAGTGATAGGGGTTGGGGTAGTGATAGAGGCTGTGGTAGTGATAGGGGCTGGGGTAGTGATAGGGGCTGGGGTAGTGATAGGGGTTGCGGTAGTGATAGGGGTTGGGGTAGTGATAGGGGTTGGGGTAGTGATAGGGGTTGGGGTAGTGATAGGGGTTGGGGTAGTGATAGGGGCTGGGGTAGTGATAGGGGTTGGGGTAGTGATAGGGGTTGGGGTAGTGATAGGGGTTGGGGTAGTGATAGGGGTTGGGGTAGTGATAGGGGTTGGGGTAGTGATAGGGGTAGGGGTAGTGATAGGGGTTGGGGTAGTGATAGGGGCTGGGGTAGTGATAGGGGCTAGGGTAGTGATAGGGGCTGGGCTAGTGATAGGGGTTGGGGTAGTGATAGGGGTTGGGATAGTGATAGGGGTTGGGGTAGTGATAGGGGTTGGGGTAGTGATAGGGGTTGGGGTAGTGGTAGGGGCTGGGGTAGTGATAGGGGTTGGGGTGGTGATAGGGGTGGTGATTGGGGCTGGGGTAGTGATAGGGGCTGGGGTGTTGATAGGGGTAGTGATAGGGGCTGGGGTAGTGATAGGGGCTGGGGTAGTGAATGGGGTAGTGATAGGGGTGGTGATAGGGGCTGGGGTAGTGATAGGGGTTGACATGGTCGTAGCTGGGGGGCGGGGGAAGGGAGTAGCAGTAAGATGAGCTAGGAGAGAAAAGATGATGGGTTATAAGAGAGTAACGAGCGCAGGTTAGTGAACATGACGTTATTTACTACAATGAGCCAATAATGACTGTGTCCTGCGCGTGACGTCATTCCGTCGGCCAGCCCCCCTCATTAATAATCATGAACAGATGACGTCCTCCACATGGACCCCCCCCCTTCATTGATAATCATGAGCAGGTGACGTCACTCCACATCGACCAGCCCCCCTCATTAATAATCATGAAGAGGTGACGTCTTCCCAATGGACACACCCCACCATTAATAACAATTAGCAGTGTGACGTCACTCAACATGGGGGGGGGGGGCGAAGCACCCCCCCCCCCTCCTCGGCGTCAACTCACAACCCTCACTACAAAGGCAGAACCCTCACGTCACGTGATCTCCGTGACGCTGTTGAGACATCAAAGTAAAAAGGACGTCGTGATGAACAAGAGATTATAACCTTTAAATGAAATAGGTCTGTGTCACAGCGGCCTTACGAATTGCACACGCATTAATGCAATGAATATACAGTCATACAGTGAGGGAAAAAAGTATTTGATCCCCTGCTGATTTTGTACGTTTGCCCACTGACAAATAAATGATCAGTCTATAATTTTAATGGTAGGTTTATTTGAACAGTGAGAGACAGAATAACAAAATCCAGAAAAACGCACGTCAAAAATGTTATAAATTGATTTGCATCTTAATGAGGAAAATAAGTATTTGACCCCTCTGAAAAACATGACTTACTTAGTACTTGGTGGCAAAACCCTTGTTGGCAATCACAGAGGTCAGACGTTTCTTGTAGTTGGCTACCAGGTTTGCACACATCTCAGGAGGGATTTTGTCCCACTCCTCTTTGCAGATCTTCTCCAAGTCATTAAGGTTTCGAGGCTGACGTTTGGCAACTCGAACCTTCAGCTCCCTCCACAGATTTTCTATGGGATTAAGGTCTGGAGACTGGCAAGGCCACTCCAGGACCTTAATGTGCTTCTTCTTGAGCCACTCCTTTGTTGCCTTGGCCGTGTGTTTTGGGTCATTTTCATGCTGGAATACCCATCCATGACCCATTTTCAATGCCCTGGCTGGGGGAAGGAGGTTCTCACCCAAGATTTGACGGTACATGGCCCCGTCCATCGTCCCTTTGATGCGGTGAAGTTGTCCTGTCCCCTTAGCAGAAAAACACCTCCAAAGCATAATGTTTCCACCTCCATGATTTACGGTGGGGATGGTGTTCTTGGGGTCATAGGCAGCATTCCTCCTCCTCCAAACACGGCGAGTTTAGTTGATGCCAAAGATATCCATTTTGGTCTCATCTGGCCACAACACTTTCACCCAGTTGACCTCTGAATCATTCAGATGTTCATTGGCAAACTTCAGACGGGCATGTATATGTGCTTTCTTGAGCAGGGGGACCTTGCGGGCGCTGCAGGATTTCAGTCCTTCACGGCGTAGTGTGTTACCAATTGTTTTCTTGGTGACTATGGTCCCAGCTGCCTTGAGATCATTGACAAGATCCTCCCGTGTAGTTCTGGGCTGATTCCTCACCGTTATCATGATCATTGCAACTCCTCGAGGTGAGATCTTGCATGGAGCCCCAGGCCGAGGGAGATTGACAGTGCTTTTGTGTTTCTTCCATTTGCGAATAATCGCACCAACTGTTGTCACCTTCTCACCAAGCTGCTTGGCAATGGTCTTGTAGCCCATTCCAGCCTTGTGTAGGTCTACAATCTTGTCCCTGACATCCTTGGAGAGCTCTTTGGTCTTGGCCATGGTGGAGAGTTTGGAATCTGATTGATTGCGTCTGTGGACAGGTGTCTTTTATACAGGTAACAAGCTGAGATTAGGAGCACTCCCTTTAAGAGTGTGCTCCTAATCTCAGCTCGTTACCTGTATAAAAGACACCTGAGAGCCAGAAATCTTTCTGATTGAGAGGGGGTCAAATACTTATTTCCCTCATTAAAATGCAAATCAATTTATAACATTTTTGACATGCGTTTTTCTGGATTTTGTTGTTGTTATTCTGTCTCTCACTGTTCAAATAAACCTACCATTAAAATTATAGACTGTTCATTTCTTTGTCAGTGGGCAAACGTACAAAATCAGCAGGGGATCAAATACTTTTTTCCCTCACTGTACCTCGGTGTACGACCGCTTTGGAATACGTCGAATTTGGTATACGTCGTGTTTTGACGAGAAAAAAAATGTCTTGGGATACGACGTCTTGCTTGGGATACGACGTCTTGCTTGGGATACGACACGCTTGCTAGAACTTGTATGGGTGGGGATGAGTCACCGCGTATAGTACCCGCGTATACCCCACCCCCCAGTAAAGCTCTAACAAGCCGTAACAGTATTGTGTCGAATAACCAGACAATGTCACACTTAAATGGACAGGTTTTTAGTAAAACTCAAACCTGGTGAGCATCAACCAGGTCCAAGTCAAGAAAAAAATATAGAAAAGAGAAAAATAAAGAACCCCCAGAATATATTCTTGGTTATTTCGGTAAAGTCACGTAGAACGGAAACAATAAAATAATACAAATATAAAAAATAAAATTCTCACGTTTCGACTGCAACACAAGCAATCATCATCAGGTGTGAAAACCAAGAAAATTTGAAAAAATAATTTCAGCTTCCTGAAGTTTTAATGGAAGGGGACTCTCCTTCCAAAAAATAACATCTCCACCTCCTCCCGTTCCTCACCACCATCCTCGTAGGCTATCAACTCCTCTCAGCAAGGTAAAGCGACGTCAAATTGTATTTTTACTTAAATTTATTCATGCATATATTTTATGTATGCATTTTAGTAATAAGTAGTGTCTACATTGTGTTATACAACCACATTAATGTATAATATGCCATATAAAATATAATTTATTATACTCTGGAACATTATTATTTCCTTTCCCTTTAATTCTTATGGGAAAAATTCGTTTGGTAGACGTCACTTCCGGTATAGGTTCTCCTACCTTCTGGAACGAATTAACGACGAATACCGAGGTACCACTGTATCACGTCGCGGTCTGCTTTTCGCTCTCCGTGGTGCTAACGTTGAAAAAAAAAATAACCGCCACTTTTTTCAAATTTTCTTGTCGTGGTTTTCACACCTGATGATGATTGCTTGTGTTGCAGTCGAAACGTCGTGAGAATTTTATTGTTTTATATTTTTATTGTTTTATTGTTTTCCCTTCTCGTTGACTTTACCGAAAGAACCAAGAACATGAATCCCTGCAGTCATGAAAGCTTTAAATCAAAACTTGTGCATGATACACCATCCCTCGCTCCCTCCAGTGTTGGATTACAGGCCGCAATGGGTAGCCACAACCGCCTGGCGAATGAGATATTAGTTTACACCAATACCTGTTATATTCACCACTAAGTGACGGTGACGTCACCACGGCGCCTGTACCAGGCCAGGTGCACTTTGAGGCCACGTTAAGTTTTGAGGCCACGTGTGGAAGGCTCGCGAGTTTACACCGCACGGCTTAATACAGTATACACCCTGCTGATCAACGTTTATTTTCAATGTACATAGAAATGTGTACAAAAACTACACGTTTGCATCACCACCACCACTACATACACAATTCAGTCGACAACCAGACCTCCACCAACACACACGCGCATGTAGCTTGATGCGGCCAATCACTAAGCCGGCATTCGAAATGATATGGGCTCCATGAACCAATCACGGCGTGTGTGGAGAATGCCGTACTGTGGCGTCACCAGTCCTGTAGCGAAGCCGGTTGGTTTCGAAGTGATCACAAGTGCTCGTGATTTCAAGTTGATTGACGAAACTAGCTCAATAACAATTAATGTGTACATATAAAACTTGAAATAACATTATGCACAACACATCAGTCCTTCAATTGGGGACCCGCGGGTCACACCTGGGCCCCGAAGGCTCGAATACAATTTTCCACTGGCACATCCGAGCCGAGCTGGTACCAAACTACGATATGCTCAGTGGACCTTACCTGGTAAAATAAAAATAAATGGTTTTAGTTTTTGATATGAATCTGACGGGGGGGGGGGGGGACGGGACCAAGCAGGGCCAAGTGGGGGGAAGGTACTAACTCGTTCATTGGGCACGACTTCAGCTGAGACATGGCGAGTTCCCGGCATCACTGCGTCGCCACTATTCGCTCCGCGTGATGTCAGCGGCACGGCTCGGCTTGTGCAGTGGAAAAAGAGGTTTCGGTGGGTGACCGCATTCAGCTACGGCCCGCCAAGACACAGAGATGCAGATTAACCAGATCAAAAGCAAGATAAATAAGAGATCCAGTTTAGCGATAGCCGTTACGCACGTAATGTCATGACGCAACGCGACGCTTTCGCGAAGACATCGCGTTACAATTGATATCACATGGGCCACCAGAACACATGGTCATTGTATCACGTGGCCTCCTGGGAAATTAGCGTTGAAAGAACCCTGCATTAAACAAAATACGGAAATAACTTGATTAACGTTATTCGCGATTTAGGCCTACACAAACGATCAAAAACATTAGAATTAATCCAAGATCATTTTACACATAGAGGGGAGACAGCAGAGTCGACGCAGGAAAGCAAGTTGGGCCAGCAGATGGCAGTACAGCAAAACATTCTCGAATCAATCTTTGTGGAGCTTTAGAAACATCATCTCCCTCGTGTGTGTGGTGGGTTTCCTCCAACAAAGCAAAACGCTCATTTGACAATGACATTCATTCAACGCCAACCATACTGATGTAGCAGGAACCGCCTCGATAACACGTCTTGAGACTCAAGTCAGGCTTTCCTGGTTAAACAAAGAACAGTTAGATCTAATTATATTTTTTTTTACTGTAGGCACAACTAGAGACAATGGAATAGGCAGACTTAAGGTAGCAGCATGCTTAGGTTTGTACACATGGCCTGTTTGTTATTTCAGTAAATTTATCAACATTTTTTTTTGCCAATTCACTGTTGGATGAGTAATTCCACCCCACGAATTTGCGGGTATTCAGAGGGGGATTCTTTGACCACACTTCACCACGTTGGTCTGTGCGGGTTGGCTAACGCGTGCAGAATGAACGCAGCAGCCCAGGGGCCGTCCATAAATGACGTCACGCGATTTTGGACCCCCCCCCCTCCCCTCATCACACGGCGTCACAAAAAGTCAGCCCCCCCCCCTGAAATATGACGTCACAAAGCTCTGCCCCCCCCCCCAAAAAAATAAAAGAACCCATGCTTCAAATCGCTTTAAACTATTGTCATTGTAGCGCGTATTTAATGTGCCGCTGCACTCTGATGTTGTAGGAGAAAACATTTATAAAAAAAAAAGTCTATTTAATTAAGTAGAACGTGTTGTCTATACTTATTTAAAGTTGCGTATTTTTCACGTGACGTCACATTTCTCGACGTCATTTACGGACGGCCCCCTCCATATCAAACCTGCTTGCGTGCAGCGGCGGTGGTGCGATCGAGTGCAGGCGCACTTGCGAACGACAACTGTACCGACGTTTAAACAACAACAAAAAACACCCCCACGTCGCCCGAGTTACCAAGCACCACGGCCACGTATCGGGTTCCGATGGCTGGCATGAGCGCCGGATTTTCACAAGGACACTCGACACGACGCGAAGGCACACAAACAAAAACAAAGCGCTCTAATTGTCGCGGCTCCGATAATGGTTTGTAAGCCGGTGGGGGGGGTGGGGGTAGCGTGGTGCGTTTCCAATGTGCAGAGCGCTCTGCCGTGGCGACACGACGAGGCGTGTCCGGGGCGCTGGCTCCAATTGAACGCTGCCTTTGGTGACGCCGAGCGCCCCGCAACGTCACGCAACCGCTCAGCCAATGAGCGGCGCCTCTTCCTCCGATTGGCTGGATTCTGACACGAACGACGCGACGTTCAGCGAGGCGGCTCCGCGCAGCGTTAAGCTCCGGTTACGACGACGCGCTATGGGCAGGGTCGTCCATAGGGAGGGTACGGGACACGGAGAATCTCCCCCCACCCCGCCACGCCTTCAAACCAAACCGGGAGTAGCACATCCGACACTGTGACGTCGAAGCCTCCACCCCACCCCTCAAAACGTGGGGCCAAGGGCAGTCGCCCAGATTCGCCGTAGCCCAAGGGACGGCTGCGGGCTAAACAGGTCGTTCAATAAGCGCTCTTGGCCACTGTACGCACCCCGGGTGTATTGCAGATGTGGCCATGCACCACAACCTCCGTTTCGTTTTCAGTGTGGTCTGTGACGACTGTGTGGGCGGTGGTGGGTGGCGCGGGCGTGGGGGTGTTGACAATTCATCCCTTTGCCCAAATACAATCGTGACAATTCATGGTCACAGTTCGATTCGAAAATGGGTTCTGTTTCAAGAATGGGTTCTGTTTCAAGGATTTGGTCAGTGCAGCGGCCTCTACTTGCTGATGCAATGTGAATCCATTACATGAGACGTTCTGAAATCGTAGGTCACGAGCCTATTGAGACGGAGGGTGGAGGGCGCAGCCTGTGGCATGGATACCGTGCAGTAGAACTTTCTAATGTGCTCATGATGCATGCGTGAATCACGAGCGTGACAGCTATTTTCAACGTGTTGCATAATGGCTTCACGTGACCCCTGCAACCATTAGAGGCACTATATCCAATACAATGTGTACGGAAAGTCCGTCGCTCAACGCGTTTTCGCTTTAACGCAGTTCTTGCATGAGGCAACATATCTCGCGCAACGCGCCCGTTATGAAACGGAGCGCGGACCGTTACAATGCGGTTTCCGAACGGTCTATGGAAAACTACTTTCTTGAGCTGCTGTGCGGCCGAGCGGTGTGATACGGTACGCGGAGTGATACAGTAAAAATTGCGGCGTACCCCAAGGTGTTTGTCCCGCCATCTCACTGCGTGGTGTACGAAATACATCGTATTTCGTCAGGACTTTATCGTGACATTATTCACGGGAAAACTGTTTTCGCTCAACGCGCTTACTTAACCTAACGGGGCACTTTTCAGGAAGGCGTCTACTGCCGCGTTCAACGAGGACTCGCTGTACTTAAACGGCGTCTAAACGAGGCTACATCTCAAGAGGCTACATCTCAAGACAGTGGGAATACTTGTTTCACAGAGAGAGGCAGCCAGGCATAGGCAGAGGCAAGTCATGACGTGAGCCTGGACTCAAACCATGAGAGCAGGGAGTCGGCGAGAATGGTGGCTGGGGGGAAGAGACTTCCTGATGGCTGGGGCAGCAAAGGAGAAGGAGCGACCTCCCCCACTGAGTGAAGGTTGATTCGGGGCTTAGACAGAAAACAGCAGCAGGGAGCAGCTCGCAATTAGAAGATTGAGGGTTCAACCCGCGGTTGTGGTGGGGGGTTGACTCAGCCAATCATCCCTGTGGGGACGATAAAATAAGTATCACTTTGTGGGGGAGTCAACAGTGGTTATTCTGTGGAGAGAATCATCCCCTCCGTAGGAATGTAGAATTTCCACCACTGGTTCAGGGCTGTAAACACAAGATGCTCTCGGATCTTATTTGAGCCGGAAATTACTTAAGACTATATTTGACGAGTTGATATCCCTTAGCAGGGTGTTGTCCAAAGAGAAACTATTTCTAATGTGGAGCAAAGATGAACAGCTGCAGGGCGTAGCGTGGGGATTCGTTAAAAGGCGTTTTTTAAAGTAGTTTGCAGGCGATCCTTGTGAAGGCCATAATCCCCTCGTCTTAAGGGGCTCAATCTTCCCCAGATGACAGTCCATCGATTTCATCCAGGTCTCCTCCGATAGCCATCCAAAACGCCTTGGCCACCTGCACAAAGACAAATATCCCCCCGTACAGCCTTTAACAGAATGTCGGGGCAAGTTGCAGTTCGCGAGTAGCACCTATGAAGCCTGGCACACGAGGCTGTGGGTGGCCACCACAGCACGCCGGCCGCCTTTATCTTTCCCCAATGATGCTCATGTTTACCAACCGGAACCTGTTACTATTTTTTAGGCATATTCGATCTCGGGGAGGCCCAGGACCGTTTCAGATATTCGTTGGCTGCGAGCAGGAATCGAACTCGGCTCAAACGGGTTCGTAGCACTGCGCGCTAACCGCTGCGCACTACTGCTCCCTCTGTGTGTGTGTGTGCGTTACCTGCACAAGAAAATACAGCACTCATCCTGCGCAAGAGATGGAGAAATTAAATCGGCCCGTGTGGAGACACTCGACGCGACGTTCATTCGCGGGGCCGTGCGAGCGGTGGCGTTGGCTCAGAAAGGCCTTCATCCAGCAGCAGATCGATCATGGCTGATGATGATGATGATGATGAACGACAAATGGCACGGGCGCTCTAGGTCGGGTCAGGCCACTTGTCGTTACCTTCTCGGCGTGCACCTTGCGCTGGCCGTGTGGCATCGTCACTGCTCTGTCTGTAACGCAGAGAAACATTGCCGCAAGTCTCAGCGGCAGCAATGCGCATGCGCGTTTAACTTCTTTCGCACCGTACGCGACCAACCGTGCTCATCGGAGATGCAGAGGGAGGAAGGACAACAAAGTAAACGCAAAAAGCAGTCCCTAAATAAATTCGTTTTCAATCTAGGTAACCCAATCCATTAAACCCAACCCCGGAATGCACATGTACGTATGCACAGCCCTTTGGAAAAATCCACCGCTGGATGAGGGCCTCCCCATGCCGTATGGGGTGCTGGGGTTTATTTGACCATACTTCAACATCTTGGTCAGTGCGGGTCAGTGAATACGGGAGAGCATTGAACTTTTTTTTTCGCTTGCCTGTCCGGAAAAGCCTCACCGAATCTCAGCACGCATTCAGGAGGACCCGGAAAAAAAATCCACACAACCACATGGAGAGAGACATGCAAACTGCAAATATAGCAGGCAAAAGAGTTAACATCTCGCCACCACGGCGCCACAAACATAGCACTCGTCAAATACATTGTTGTATTGTTTGTGTTGCTGTTTAGAATGCGAGACTTGACTCGGAGAACTCACAACACCGTATTCACGGAGCGATCGGCTGGTTGCGATTGGTCACTCTAGACACCTATTGGACAAATGCCAACTCATTATGCATTGCCCTCGAGCATTGTGGGTAAATGCCCATGGAAGCAGAACTCCATCCTGCGTCTCCACATGTAAATAAAATATTTATTTTAGTCTGACAGCCCAACTGGCTTCCCAGGCCAAGGTTATTGAGCATTTCAAACGAGCAAACTCAGAGGTAGACTTGTAAAACAAATGCCCCTGGGTTCCCGGATGTTATTGGCAAGAGCACTTCATATAAACTATAGGACACCATTGAATGCAAAACGCAATACCACACACACAATCATTGACGGATGATTGAGTTAAACATTTTTCAAATCGCCATCATACGACTATTGATAAGCTTCAAGATAACTTTAACACGTAGGCTTTTGCGACCAATATCATCCATAATACAGGTATTTTTTTTTGTTTGGGTTAGATCGCGTAAATATATAAATGTGTCGTTAAACCGGCAGGTGAAGCTGTTGTCTTCACTGGCGTTCCTTAAAAGATGCAGAGATTCAAAGGTAATACCACACACAGTTAAAGTAACTCACAAGTGATGTTAGCAATCTACCCCCCTATTTAAAGATTTCTCCACAAATCTGGCTATCGCCTGATGAAGCTAGTTGTAATTACTGGCAAAACGTCGTACTCTGATTGTAAATGTTGTGGCTTTGGTTTCCAACACACCGGTGTGCTGTACCAGTAACGAATTGGCACGTTCTGTTTACATAACAAACCTTACTAATTGGTTGTGTCGGGTGGTGGCGGGTTGAACGACACATTTATATATTTATCCAATCTAACCAAAAAAAAAACCTGTATTATGGAAGCTACAAGATGTTTGTTTTATCATCATCATCATCGCTATACTACGATAAAAGCAAATAATGTCTGTCCATCATCCCGCTTATAACTCCAGACATCAAAACTATCATCGCACGCACGGGCCTCCGTGTACAGGGTCGCGGTGGCGCGGTCGACAAATGTGCCGCGCAAAGTTAAAGTGGAACCGGAAGAAGAAAAAAAAGGGGCAAAAGATATGCAACTAACCACCTTTCATCTCGCGTAGCTTCTCGTAGAGGCGCTCAAAGTTCTCGCAATCGGCCGAGTCGGCCGTGGTGAGCGCCGCCAACTCCTGGATGTCGGTCTGCAGCAGCGATTCTGACGACGAGAGACAACCACGCTAGCAAGGGTCTCCAGTCTCTCTCCTTGTTACAGACGACTGCGCTGACACAACAGCGTCCAGTCTCCGTCGTTGGGTGTTCGTGCCGCCAACTCACCCACAGCCGCCCCCCTGCTCTCGCCGTTCGGCTGTGGGGTGACTCTCTCAGCCTCCTGCGCCGCCTCCTCCTCTTCCACCTCATCCTCCACCGCGTCAACCTCCTCCCCTTCCTCCTCGTCCTCGTCGAACTGAAGAGAATCGGCAGCACGCAGAGGGTTATCGTGAGCACGCAAGGCAAGCGCGCGTTAACTCCTGTGCGAGAGGCTACGACCAAATCGCAAAAAATGCTGCCGTTCTCATCGGAGCTCAGAAGCTAACCAGGAAATAAGCCTAGACGGTGCTTGGAAGGAAGACCACTTGAGCACAACTCAGGGTGCTACGGTAGCGAGATGTTAACTCCCTTGCCTGGTATACAGGAGGTTGTGGGTTAGATCCCGACCCTGACACCTGCTGTATATTTGGAGTTTGCAAGTTCTCCCCGTGGTTGCGTGCATTTTTCTCGGGGGTCCTCCGGTTTTTCCCTCCACGTTTAGAAACATGAGTTTAGAGTATTTGGCTGCTATAAATGTCCACATAAGCCACTTAGTTGAGCTATCGTTTGTGGCCAGGTTGCGTCTGACAAAGAGCTACATAGCTAAATGGGCCTCACAGAGTTGTGACGATGCGTCAGGGTCAAACCGTAGGAGTATCGGCGGGGACGGAGGGGGGGGGGGCGACGAGGTGGGGGGGGGGGGGGGGCGACGAGGTGGGGGGGGGCCCACTCACCTGCCTGTGCGTGCCGGGACCCGCTCGCCTACCCTCCAGGGCCCCCAACGCGCAGCTCAGCATCCCCCCGGCCGTCCGCTCTGCGAGACACGACCGCAGTGTTTACAACAGGGGTGGGGAGTGGTGGCACAGGGGGTTAAGCGCGCCGCAAGGGGAGCTGTTGGAATCTCATTGGGGGGTTCGCACTGTGTTAACTGGTGGGTGGCGAGTGTCGAGGTGAGTGGATGAACGGTGAGTGGCGAGAGCACTGTTCGGGCACATACGTAGTAGGATGGACAACAACAGGAACATTTGAAGCGCGCTGTTCAGAAAAAAATGGAACGAACCGGAAGGAGAGGAAGACCTAAGAGAGAATGGATTGATGACGACATAAGAGATTGGTGCCAGAAAGACGTGGCACCGCTTGGGCATATTGGCACAAGACAGAGGAAAGTGGAAACAACAAATGACGAAATGTGCCGTGGACACCTACGCACTATCTGCCCATGGATAGTGATGAAGATGATGAGTGGTGAGTGGCATTCATAGGATTGGCTGCCCTCGAGTTTTTAATAACTTCACCATTATTCGGACCAATAAATGTACGTTGTGTACTTTGTATGCATGTATAACTTATTTATTTCCTCTTTCACACCGTATGCAGCCAAACTTGATAATCGGAGGTGCGATGCGTTAATAAAGGTAGTGTTTCTCTACCTTTCATCTGTAGGTTAGGCCACACGTGGGCACTCAGGGCCTGAATGATCCTCTTGATGCCAGTCGTCTCTGGGAAGTCATCTACACGCACACAAACACAGAACAACAACAACCGCCATTCACCACTAAGTGGAGGTTACGTCACAACCATGGTGCTTGTGCCATGCTAGGTGCATTTTGAGGCCATGTGAAGTGCCGAAGGCCTGCTGGCAGGATGTCATGGAATAGACCCCAGATGCCATGGAATAACTGACAGAGGTGACTGGCACAAGCACCAACCGTGCTTCCCACTGTGCCAATTCTTTGCGCTTTAGCCACTCGCCGCTCCGGTCGTTGTTGTGAGCATCGCTTCTCTGCCCTCCGTTATTGCGAGAGGGCGACTGCCTCCAACTCCCCGGCAGCATCCTAGACAAACCTCCTCAACAAAGGCCGATCTTGACCGTGCTGATACCGGTCACCGGCAAGTCCAATCAACTCCGCACCCTTGTGTCCCGCATCGTTCCATCTCTTCTCTCGCCCGTGCCACAGAAGTAACGGGATATCCCAAAAACACAACACATTTTCGGCACGACAGGAAAATCAGCATGGGGCGTAAAACAGTAAAATCGGCGGTCTGTAAACATTTGCTGACAGTTGACAGTGGTGCGCAGAAAGGTTGGAAAGCCCATCTCTAGACCATGGGGAGCAGCAGAATATGAGCGGGTGGGGGTACTCACCATCCTCATCCAGGGCCTCAAGGGGACTCAACTCAACCAACTCAAATGCCGACTGGATGCACCACTCCTGTGCCTCCCTGCGAGAGACACCTGCAACACGCAAGTAGCACAAAGACAAAAGCTACTCGATATAGACTCTAAACAAACTGACGGGGCAAGTGCTGTCAGCAAGCACCTACACACCCATACAATGACGAAGATCCCCCCCAAAAAGCCTCAATAGACTCTTGGGGCATGTGCTGCTATCGAGCACCCTATGAAGGCTGGGCACACGAGGGGGTGGGTGGCCAGTATCATGCCCGGCCACCTTTGTCTCCCTAATTATGAAGTTTGCACACTGCACTAGGACGCATTTGAGGCCGAGTCGACCTAGGAGAGGGAGGCCCAGGGCCGATTCTGATATTCATCACGAATATTGGCTGTGACCTGGGATTTAATTTGGGTCGCTCAGTTCCTAGTGCAGCGCGGTAACCACTGGATTACGGCTCGCACGCAAGACAAAGACATGCAAGACCACACACACTTATAACATAACAACCGCCATTCGCCACTAAGTGGCGGTGACGTCACCACGACGCTTGTGCCAGGCCATGTGCACCTTGAGGCCAGGTGAATTGACGAACGCCCGCTGGCAGGTCACGGGGCAGACCCAGGTGCCACGGGTCGACTGACTGAGATGACTGGCTGATGCACCACCTGTGCCCCCTACTGTGCCGACCTGCTGTGCTTTAGCCACCCGGCGCTCCGCTCGTTGTTGTGAGCGTCGCTCCTCCGCCCTCCGTTGTTGTTGGAGGGCGACTGCCTCCAACTGCCCAGTAGCATCCTTCACGAGCCTCCTCCACAGAGGCCAATCTTGACACCGCTGGTACCAGTCATCGGCAAGTCCACTCAGCTCCACGTCCTCCTGTACCACATCACTCCATCTCTTCTCTAGCCCGTGCCGCGCCCGTTTAACCCCCTCTATCCGGCCGAACAAAAGCTGTTTCGGCATGCGGTGGCTGGGCATGCAGGCTACATGACCCAGCCAATGCAGCCTTGCCTGCCGGAGGAGCTCACCGATGGGACCTTGCCCAGATCTTTCAAGGATGTGAGCTCCTCACACAATCCAGTCTGGTTAAACCCAGGATGGATCGTAGGCAGGCCAGCCTAAATGTTTCTAACCGGCAAAGATGTTCCATTAGGGGGGTCCACGTTTCGCAAGTGTAGAGAAGGGAGGGAATGACCGTGGCCGAGAAGACCTGAAGCTTAGTGCAGAGCGACAGACCAGGTAGCTTCCACACAGCGTTACGGCACCACACACGTCCGTACACACACACACTCTCGACACCACACACACTCTCTCTACACCACACACACCTCCGAACACACACTCACATCCGTTCACACACACACACACTCTCTACATCACACACACGTCTGCACATACACACACACACACACACGACAACCCTGGGCAGCGTGCGCTGCGGTCACCTTGCTCGTCGACGCGGTCGCACACTAGCACGAGCACCGATGGCACCCAGTGCTGAGAGAACGACAGCCACTCCGACACCTGCGCCAGCGCCCCCTTCTGCACAAAGACAAAGATCCCCCGTGGAGCCTTAACAGACTGTTGGAGCAAGTGCTGTAAGCGGAGTAGCACCTATGAATGCTGGCATTGGCAACACTAGGGGGTTGGTGGCCGGCACCACACCCGGCCACCTTTGTCTCCCTAATTGCGATGTTTACACACCGCACCAGGTACTCAGTTGAGGTTGAGTCGACCTGGGGGAGGCTCCACACTGGTTCAGCTAATCGTCACTGGTGTTGACAGTGAGCAGGAATCGAACTCGGGTCGCTGGGTTTGTAGAGCCGTGCGCTAACCCGCTACACCACCACTCCCCACACACGCACAAGCACAGACAAGAGAGCCCATGGTGATTGCATGTGTACATCTCTGTAGTCACGTGTCTACTGTGCTGGGTTTGTGGTATAATTTTACCAGGCAATGCCCACTGAGCTATGTAGCTCTTTTTCAGAAGCGAACTGGCCACAAATTATTGCTCAACTAAGTGGCTTTTCACGTGGAAATGTATAGCAGCCACATACTCTAAAAGCACGTCGATTCTAAAATGCGGAGGGAAAAAAACGGAGCACCCGGAGAAAAATCCACGCGACCACAGAGAGAACATTCGGTGACCTCAACGGCTTTGGCCACGAAGACATCTTGACCATGACCGGGGGGTGAGAGAGGCCATGTGCGGCAATTCCATCCGTACTCTCGCCGGGGAGTGAAGAAAAAAAAAAATCGCGTGACGGGGAGGCTAAGAGGATGGGCGACGCGGAAACAAGAGCGACGGTCCGCCGAAGCAAACACAAACCTTGGACGCGTCGAAGTAGGCGAGGAAGGCCTGCACCGAGTCGCCGAACTCACGCGACACCAGGGACTTGCTCCGCAGGGGACAGAGGCGCACGCTGGCCGAGTAGTACTTGTTGTCGATGCGCCACGGGAATGACTCCACGCCGTCATCGCTCGTCACGCTCTCGTCCGCCGAGCCCTCGCTCCCCAGAACCTCTGCGCACAGCGGGCAAAAACCCACGCGGTTTTAGCAGCGGAGTTCGTACAAATCCGGATCGGCAGATGACGCGCCCGCGGATACGGTGAATTACCCTCTGCCGTGTTGACCTTTTTTGCCCATTGCATAGCTCCGCAGCCTATGATACACGTTGTGTATGGATGTATGTTGAACGTCTTTCGCACCGTACATAGCCAACCGTGCTAATGCTCCATTCAAGCACTGCGCAGGTTCAAGCCTGCTTGAAAATAAAAGGGGTCAAAAGCAGCGCTACAGGTAAACAATGTGCCGGCCATTTTTTACACAGTAAAAAAACAGTTTGTAATAATCTTACGTAGGCATAGACTTACGTTACATTTTACTTATTCAACATTTAATTAGCATAATGGAAGCCGACCGGTTGCTACCAGGGCATACGTTTGAATATTTGAAAATACAGTACTGTACTGTATGGTCCTTTTTTTAAAATTATATTTCTGTCTCCAGGTTTTCGCCAACCATTTGATAAGTTGTATTGATCTATCAGCTAAGTAACTTCACAACACAACTTTGTACTAAAACTTCGCTCACATTGGATCATCTTTGAAATTATTATCGTGCCGCCCCTCACCCCTTCAAGGATGAACAGACGGACGGACGGAGTGAGCGTATATAGACGCTGTCACCCTCGGCTGGAAATCTTCATATGAATTACCTGCACAACACTTTGACGATCTAACCCAGCGTTCTTCATGACAAGGCCCACGGTCCACTGGGTGGCCCCTGGTGACCTTTAGTGCGGCCGCTGACGTTCAGCCCCCGACAGTACATGACGTGCGGCAAAACCCCCATCATTGTTTCAAATGTGTGGCGGCCTTAACACTGATGATGTCTTATCGGCGAAAGTGCCCCCCCCCCCCCCCCATGAATGTTAGTCAAGAAAACTGGTCGAACCGCTGAAAGAGGCCTCCCCGTGCTTTGCGAATCGTGCCAATTGTTTAACCATTCTTTACCACGCAGGGCATTGCGGGTTGGTGAATGTAGTGAATGCAAGAGGCGGGACAGTACAGTACAACACTATATGTCACATGCACTGCCCCAAACCCCGCAGCCGATAACAACCGAACGTGCATTGCAGTCGCCAATCAAATCATTGTCCAGGTTTTTCCTTGCTTGACTTGACGAGATCTTGACGAGATCGGGGGCATTGCGGGTGATCTGGCCACGGGCTCGAGTTAAATGCCCGGGTGAGTGGGGGGGGAGGATCCAGTCTGCCATGTGGGAGACGCTACTACACCTGGTGGGGGTTCCACTCACCGACTCGCGCAAAGAAGCACCGAGAGAGAGAGAGATGCCTGCTTACAAATTACACTTAAAGAGAGAGTGTTGTAACGGTCGACAATGATGATGATAGCATAAAATAAAAGTGTGCTTGGGCAATTGGGAGCGTTGCTGGAATGGGTTGAACTACGAGCCCGTGGCCGAGACTCGTGACAGAATGACGCGGGCGTAGGAAGGCGATAATCGCGGAAATGGAGCGATTTACATCAGCTCGCGTGGAGGTGGATCTATGGATTACTACCATACCTGTCAACCCGTACGTACGGTTTACCCCGTATTCTTCTACAGGGAAATTGAGTTTCCAGGTCTATACGGAGTACAGCCGTTTCAATACGGGCAAAAAAATGTGTTTAGTGACATAATTTGTATCTACTTGTTTGTGTTTCTCTCTTGTGATGGGACTTTGTAGGATGAACGTTGATATTTATAAGGGGCACGGCGTTACCAATAAGGTCTGAATTGGTCTGTGGTAATAAGGTAGAGGGCACTGATAAGGGGTTGACAGGCGTGTACGAAATCGCGGATCCGTGAGAGAAGGGGGGGCAGCTTAGGGGAGGCTTTCTTCTAGCAGTGGATAGACCTTGGCTGACGACGACGAACAGACACCGACCGGCGCTTCCCCCCCCCCACACCCCTGCGCCGCCTACCGAGGAAGGCGCCACTCGCCCGGGTAGGGAAACCAGGCGAGAGCGAGGCTCCTCGAGGCTGCAGACGAACTCACGTTTCACGAGATCCTCCGCCGAAAAGCTGTCGCTGCAACTGACCACGGCGATCGAGGGCAACGCCATGACCCCTATGGTTTAGTTTGTTGTTGTTGTCGTCGTTGTTTTATTGCCCGCAAAATTAAAATTGACATTGAGTTCAAAATGAAGATGGGGAAACGTTTAACTTGACGGAGCGGACGCAGAGGGCCGCGCCATCAGGGGGGGGGGTGACGTCGACGACGGTGGCCGGAGCGCGTCAAAGACCACGTGGTTCGCGTTTTTTTATTCGTCAGCAGCAGTCGCAGCAGCGATGGCCAATCCACTGCTGGCCGAGTGCCTCATCCATTTCTGACCAGGAGAAGTGAACAATACAGACATTGTAAGTTCTAAGTGTTGAAATTTAAAGGTGCAGCCCCTGCAATTATTATCTTTACGCCACTTGCTGGCGGAAGGGCCTTCACTAGAGAGAGCGCTGGTGACTTGTAATGGGAAGATCATCTGCGCCTTGCACTCAAAATATTTACGCTGGAGGAATCCGATGAGCTATAAAGTTATATATTTTCTTTTATCACAGATGTCCAGTAGGTGGCGGTTCATAAAGTTACAACAACAAACAGTACTAAAAACACGACGCAGGTCTGGAGTTTCACGTGTGTGTTGAACGAATGGTGCAGGCGAAGCTGGCGCTGCTGATGAGAGGTTGAATGGTGAAACCGGGCCAGAGTTTTGCTTGTGGTGAACTTAATTGCTGCTGAAATGGTGCACTTCCAGAAGGCTGTGCGGCTGTGGGGATATGTAAAGAATGCTTTATTTTTAATGCACAGAGACAGATTATGGGAAGTAATCGGCTTATTGGCTGCTTATTCGTTTTATATTCGAGAAATTATTTGGTGATGCTGCGTTGGCAGTGATACACGCAAGCACATTTCGTCAACAACAATAACACGACCTTAAGGGAATTAAAATAATTGGAGACGTTTCGGACAAATGGCCCTTCAAATGACATGAATTAAAAAAGGCCATCATGAAGAAGGCCCATTGTCCGAAACGTCGCCCCGCTGCGTGTTGTTTATCAGAAAGCCACACGGGGGGGCATCCCCTTTGTGAGCGCTGCGTTCGGCCCACTGCTCCATCGCCTTCGATAGCTCAGTTGGTAGAGCGGAGGACTGTAGATGTAACGCGCTTGCTGACATCCTTAGGTCGCTGGTTCGACTCCGGCTCGAAGGACGATTATTTTTTTAAATCTACTTTCAACCGGCCAAATGTTGCTTGCTCGTATAGGCTGGAAATAGCGACCTCTTAGAGTCTACGAACGGAATGTGTTAAGTTTGTATCTTAAATGTCGCGTTTGTGTTTTGTTGCTTAGGTCTGCTCGTTAAGACACTGGCGATGCACCGCCCTCTAGCGGACTCTAATCGAATTATGCAAACTGCGAAGGGAGTGCACTCACGACTTACAAACCCAACGACAACCACACAACTCCTCGAGCCATCGTCAACCAACGAACCTCGACAACGTCACCCTCGCCGTGGGCTCAAGTCCCGATCCCCAATCCCTTCTGGGATCGCGCTGTCCGCCGCTGTCGCCATCAGAACATCGGCAGGACAACGCGTGCCCATCACCTTCATGAATGGACAAATTAAGGACACGAGCAGCAAGAATTGCGAGCCCCAGTTTCGGCCCAAGTCGTTGCCTCCCAGTGCTCTCTCGGCTTCCCAACTTTACTTCCCAGCCTACACCCAGCCCCCCACACTCACCATGCCCCCCCTCTCTCTTCATGCCCCACGACTATATAATCCATCGTCACAGCCTTCTCTGAGACACACTGAAGCGTTTGTGCTTTCGCTACGTTGTCCCCACCTGAAGAAGGACACTTGTGTTGCGCCCGAAACGTCGTGATTTAATTTAGTTTTCATTTATTTTGTTTATTTTTTTTACCTACGTGACTTTACCGAAAAACCCAAAGAGGAAGTTGCGAGTGTGGCCACGCGAACCATCGCGATGGAGCGTCGAGTAACCCCACCTGCGGTCTGCTCTCCTTCCATGGACGAGGGACACGTATTGTTTGGAAGGAGGCTGGTTATCCGCTTATCTATTTTGTTAATTATACAGGGTGCTTCCAATTGTTTTCAACACTTTTATGGGACTATCGTTTTTAATGGGAAAAAAGAACGGGTAAAACACCTTAACATGATAACAAATATTCTTGGTTCTTTCGGAACAGTCACGTAGAAGGGAAACAATTAAATAATAAAAATATAAAGCAATCGTCATCAGGTGTGAAAACCACAGCAAGAACATTTGAAAAAAGTGGCGGTTTTTTCAAATTTTCTTGCTGTGGTTTTCACACCTGATGATGATTGCTTGTGTTGCAGTCGAAACATCGTGAGAATTTTAATTGTTTTATATTTTTATCATTGTATTGTTTCCCTTCTACGTGACTGTACCGAAAGAACCAAGAATATGAATCCCTGTAGTCACGAAAGCTTTAAATCAAAATGATAACAAATGTAATGTTTGTAACTTCAAAAAGTCAAAGAGTCTCCACTTGTTTCGCCATCGTTGTCAACGCGTGCAGGGAGTCTTCTCTAGGTGGTCTCCAGAGCCCGGAGGCAGCAGCACATTTCTTGCGGTATTGTTGCAAATTCTCAGAAGTGTTAACACAATGTTTCCACATTATGTAAACACATTGCTGTTACATGATTGTTGTTCAAGCACCCTGTACTAGCAGCCCGCACGTCCGTTGGACGTGACCGTCCCTCCATCCCTCCAGCCGGACAGCTGGCCATCATCCCTTCTGACCGTCACGCGTGTCCTGCTCAAGCCCGCTCACTCAAGGGGTCAAGATGATTTCTCCGCCTGGCGCGCGCTCTCTGATCCACGTGCTCCTCTTTCTCGCCTCGCGCGGTGTGGCGTTCCAAGCAACGCGCCCTTTTGCGCGCCTCTTCTTTGCGTACTTCTTATAAAGGTTTTGTTCGGACACTTTCTATGATGAGCGCACGAGACTGTTTGTCACAGTGACCCTGCGCTGTGGTCATGGCGACTCGGGTTCGATCCCGAATTCTGTGAAAAGTGTTTGGTAATTTAAACTAAAATTTTACTTTGTTTTTATTTTACCAGGTCTAAGGCCCACTGAGCTATCTAGATTATTTTTTTTCAGAAGCGACCTGGCTATCACGAATGATTGCTCAACGAAGTGGCTTATCACGTGGAAATGTATAGCAGCCAAATACTCGAAACGCGTGTTTCTAAACGTGGTGGGGAAAACCCGGAGGACCCGGAGAAAAATCCACGCGACCACGGGGAAACATGCAAACCCCAAATATACAGGCTTCAGGGTCGGGATCTGGATCGAACCCACGACCTCCTGTATACCAGGCGAGGTAGTTAACATTTCGCCACCGCGGCATGTCCAAATGTTGGATCTGGACCGGGCTTGGGTCACCACTAGGTTGACTGGGCGCAAAATGAGCACTGTATCTGATGCGGTGTGATAATGGCAAGAAACACTGGGGAGACAAAGGTGGTCGGGTCGGGTGTGGTGCTGGCTGATGGCCACATCATCCCCATTGTGCGCTGTTCCAGCCTTAATCGGTGCTCACTGAAAGCATTAGCTCTAACAGTGTGACGTAGGTATCCACGAATTTATTTCTGTACAAGACGAGACAAACATATGTATGTTATCAAACCGTTTATTAAATCGCGCGACGTTTGATAACCGAGCTTTAAAGTCAATAAGATTTTTTTTTAAAACATGCGTTGAACACGATCCGTTGTAGCAATTACCTGAATTAAATTATCATGATCACGTGAGCTCTCGCAAGCTCAGCAGAGTTGAGCCCATTCACTAACCCACTCACTCACCCACTCACTCACCCACTCGCTCGCTCACTCACCCACACACTCACCACACTGCAGCTCACAACAACATGCTCACTTACTCACAACAACAACAACCGCCATTCGCAGCTAAGTGACGGTGACGCCACCACGACGCTTGTGCCAGGCCATGTGCACCTTGAGGCCACGTGAAGTGTCGAACGCCCGCTGGCAGGAGGTCACGGGGCAGACCCAGCAGGTGCCACGGGTCGACTGACTGAGATGACTGAGATGACAGGCTGATGCACCACCTGTGCCCCCTACTGTGCCAACCTGCTGTGCTTTATCCACCCGGCGTTCCGCTCGTTGTTGTGAGCGTCGCTCCTCCGCCCTCCGTTGTTGTTGGAGGGCGACTGCCTCCAACTGCCGAGTAGCATCCTTCACGAGCCTCCTCCACAGAGGCCGATCTTGACACCGCTGGTACCAGTCATCGGCAAGTCCACTCAGCTCTACGTCCTCCTGTACTCACTCACCCATACTCACCCACACACTCACTCACCCACTCACCACACTGCAGCTCACAACACCATGCTCACACACTCACCACACTGCAGCTTACAACAACATACTCACTCACCCATTCACCCACTCACTCACCCACTCACTCACCCTCTCACTCACCCACACACTCACCTACACACTCACCCACTCACCCACACTGCAGGTCACCTCGCTTCTCACTGCTCCACTTTGAAATCCCCTCTTCACATCATCAGCCTCTCCTCTCCCCAACTCTCGTAGTCGTAGTAATCATGTATAACATCGCCCCCTCCCCCACTTTAAAACAAGTGTGAACTCTGAACGATTACAACTTTCATCGTGCGTGGTGTTTGTTACTGGCCTCTTACGGGGTCAATCAAGGACCAAAATAGCCAACCGGGTGACTCAGGGACGTCGAGCCAGAAGCTTCGCAACAGTTGCAAGGTTACGGAAACCCATCGAACCTGTCGCTGACCGATCCGTGGAGGTCCACTTGCTCCGCGCGTGTGATTCTTGTGGATGGCGTGGGCGAGGGCTGAAACGAATGAAAGGAGGACATCCGAACACGAAACGTCGATGCCCGAGGTATCCTCGCAGCGGCAATGAACGTCCGCGGCGGAGACGGAGCGAAGTCGGCTCGCTTGTAGACCGGGTGCTGGGTGGATTGTTGCATCCGCGGGATAGGGTTAGAGGCGGAGCCGGCGGGAGGAGAGGGGGGGGGGGCTTCATCCAGCGGTGGATAGATCAGGTTCTCACGGCGATGGTGAATACGCATCGAGCAGACACGTTACTTACCGACTGCTGTTCACACTCTCATGGTGTTCTGGAAGGGTTCGAATTCAGAGATTTGGCTCAATTATCGTGGCGGCGACTCTACTTTATAGAACAATGATTTGATCTCA